TAGCTTCGACAAAACAGGGAGATAGTCATTTGTGTATAAGAGTACTGTTTTTAGTACTATATTTTAAAATGTCACATAATCCTACACTTTCAGCATCTTTACGAACCACCTACATTCACACTATATTTGCGGTTGTTTTCTTTAACCTACTAGAATGCTCTTGCTCAAAACGTGCCTTAATAATGAAAAAATTAAACTAAGTAGACGTACATTCACTATTTCACCACAAGTAACTCAATTTAAATATACATGAACATTGTAATATGAGGTTGCCATATGTGTATCAAAATACTGTTTTCAGTAGTTTGTTTCAAAACTACGAATAATGCCATGCTTTCAACTCCTTTTTGAACCATCTTCATTTACACAGTTCTTTATCCACCCATACCTTTTCTGCGCTTGCTTTCTTTAACCTATTAGAATGCTCTTGCTTGAAATAACCTCAATAAAAGGGATATGCAACTGTTTACTGAGTCTTTCATCCCGTTCAGTAACACTCTGTCGAAAACGTTTCCTGGCACTGACATTAGTGTGATAACTCTGTACTTCTCACATTTTCGTCGATCTCCTTTCTTTAGTACACTGATGAAGTATCCTTCTTTCCAGTCCATCGGTGGCAATCGTTCTTCCTCCCATATCATCATAGATAAAACGTGAGGTATAGTTGCGATTATTTCTCTATCTGACTCCAGTACTTCGGCTGGTGTATTGTCAGGTTCTGCTGCTTTTCCACTCTTGATTTGTCTGATGGCCATCGTGATTTCTTCCGTCGTTGGTGGAGTGATATCTATAGGAATGTGTGTGTGTGTACTACATCGGTGTCCGGTGGATTCAATGGAGCGGTCTATTCAGAAGTTCTTCAAAGTACTCAACCCATCTGTTCGTCTGTTCTTGAATTTCAGTGATTGAGCTACCCTCTTTGTCCATGACCGCTCTCTGGTTTACTATATCTCCCTGCCAGTTTCATTCGTTGTATCATGTAGTTGTTTCATATTTCCTTCTTTTACAGATTCTTCCGCCGTTGTCGCTAGTTCTTTAATGTGTTACTGCTTGTATGCTTTTTTACACTTCTTAACTAGCTTTTTTGCTTCTGTGTACTCAGCCTGTGCTTGAACTTTCTCTGCCCGTGTTCGGCTGTTGTTAATTGCTGTCTTGTTGTTCTTCCTTTTTTGATCTTGTCCAGTGTTTCTATAGAGGTCCACTTCTAATGATGATACTTGTTGTAACTTTAAACCTGTATTGTTGGTTATTATGTTAAGCCCATATACCTTATTCTAGCTTTCGGACAGCTCATTCTATTCATTTTACTTGAGTCACATTTTGACATCGTTATTTATTCGCTTATCACTCTTGACTGTTTTTATACGATCGCGTAGGTGTGTGCACATTTCTTATCCGATTACCCATCACATGTCTTTAACCTATTTTTATGTGCCTGTAAATAATGACTGACGTTTGACTAATGGGGAGTTGGCTTACCTGTCATCTCCACTGCGTGTCGTTTTGCTTCGTTCTATTCCATTCACTTTATATACAAAATATATGTATTCACAAGTCCATTCTCGTTATTTGACTTATTTAATTCTGTTATTGACTAACGTGATTTGAGTCGATGATTATATACGAGGATATGCAATATTCCAATAACAACCATCCATTACGACCATCTCGGACCACTAAAATGGAGAGTCCTTTCGACAACATCCTCTGATCTAAATGACGACAAAATGAAGGGCCCCACAACCTCGTATCACGTTGAGGTCAATGTGTCTTTGATACCTTTCCAGTTATCCTCTATAGTAGTTTCTTCTTCTTTCAGTAGATCTTATGAAGCTTGGAACGTGTTACTGAAAGTTATCTTGAACTAGTTGAATTTTTCAGTATGTCGAGGAAACACTGTATTGAACCTTTGTAATACTGTTTCTACAGATGTTCAACGCTCCTTTAGTCTCAGTTTCGTCTTGTTAACCACCAGCTAAAGGTGATGTGAATATATACGAGCTTTTCTCCTGGTTCTCACGACTTCCATTGATCTTGTGACTCTTATACTGATGTAAACATGATCGATCTTGTTCTCTGTAGTGTGATTTTGAGAAATCCATGTAGATTTGTATATGTATTTGTGAAGGAATATTGTATCGCCTATAACCATTTTATTGACTGTACATAAATTTGCAAACCCTTCACCATTTCCACCGCTTCCTCCCAGTTCATATCGTCCTATGTTATCTACATAACTAGTGTTGTCCATTCTGACTTTGGCATTTAAGTTTTCTTATATGAATCGTCAGATCTTTTCCTGATCATTTCGCTTTGACCGATCACAGCCTCTAGTAAAACTGATTTTTATCGTGGTCACTGCTATTATTATTGAGTGCATAGTAGGGGATAAAATTCACTGTGATTTCTTTTGTTGTTCTGAGGTTTGCTTTGATAATTCTAGACCCACGAGACTCCTATCTAATAAGTGCATTTGATGCTTGTTTGGAAGGCATCAGAACAGCTCCGTGCGTGGGTAGAGGACTTCCTTCTTCGCGAACCGAGTACAGCAGCATCTCTTTCGAGTCTAACCTTTTCTGCCCATTTTGAATCCATTGTGTTTCTGTGATTCCGAGCTCCATCATGTTATACCTTCCCATCTCGGCTTTCGCCATGAGGCGTCATAATTCTTCTGAAAGATCATTCAACCCGGAGGGCAGAGACCAATTGGTTTAATTTCATTATTCTGGTTAGCGTCTTTTAGCCAGATTGTTTTTTACTGGATGAAGTTGCTAAAGCCACGTCCGCCTCTCTTCCTTTACCCGGGATCAGAACCGAAATGCTACAAATACCCTAGATTTACTGTACATCAACTAATCTAGGAGTAAAGCGTTTTTTCACCTTTCGTTTCTTTTCTTTAGTGTTGAAGTTGTCGTCTAGATTTTGCTTAGGGTTATTAGAGAGCTTGAGAAACAGATTCAGGCGTTCAGCTAGAAGATTTATTACTTTATGGTCGATATATTGACGGGAAACTTGGTCTACCGTGTCCCAAAAATGAGCATTTCGATTATTGCGGAAATATTATTTATCTCTTTCTGAATAAATCATGTTCTATTTCTCGAAGGATAATATTGAACTGTATATAGGAATCAACGGAGAATCTTTTGAGAGTTTTTAGCTGAATAACTTGTTACAGAAGTGAGTGTTCCCAGTACTGGGAGTGCGCTTCAATTAGCAATCAAAAATGTACAAGTCTAGTCAATTTGAGCAGCAGAGTCTAAGAGTAAGAACTATTCAGCATAGCAGTCACTATAACCAAGATGCCAAGTATAACGACATGGATTTAGTTCGCGAGAATCTTAGAGAATAAATTGAAACGTAAAAACTACAGTAAAGGATTAATGGTAACCTAGAATCAAATGATCAACTCAATATATAGCTGCAGGAATAAAAAAGAATAACCTTTCATTCAAAAGTAAAGCAGTATTTTACATTACGAAGTGTGTAAGCGAAGGAATATTCAAATGTGATCCCAAAAGACCTCCGAAAAAACCTTGCACCGACACCCTGATGAATAAAGAGGTTTATGAACAGCGTTAGCAACTCAATCTTCTGAAGAAGAACCATGAGTAAAAGTGCTAAATAAAAAGAATCATTAGAACGTTGATTTAAGCATTGAAAAGCTTCCATACAGAAGTGTCAAAACATCTCATGACAAGAGCTGAGATTCTCTAGAAGTCACTAGATCGATGATTCTTCCGACAATGGAGGCAATAACCAATACGAAGGTCATTCAAGCATCAAGAATGTTAAGGTACAACCTAGTTTAGGTGGGACTAAGTGAACACATTTGGAAACAATCTAGATTATAAGAATAACTCAGACAGGGCGATTATTGATACAGATGAAACAAGAATGGAGAGAAACTAATAGGTCTGTATGCATACCACAACGTGGTCGTATTTGGTTTGATTTTTACCGACAGGTTTATGAATAGAGTTACGTGGGTTGGGCCGAACAACACTACTTAGGATCAAGTCGATAACATATGGATCAATAAAAACTTCAGAAGGTCCATAGATGACATTATAACAAAGTGATAGTCATAAGGCTAACAGTGTGATCAAAAATATCAAGTGATTGAGCGAGCAGCACTTCGAAAGTTCATCGCTGCCTTCCTTCGAAACGTTAACAAGCTCAAGTAGTTCAAAATTGATCTCAGGTACATCCCCAATCCCCAAATTATCAACCAGAAAAGGGAAGGACCACTATGAAGAACGATTTGATACGGATTAAAGATGCAATAACCTCTAAATTGTACGAGGTGCCGGTATCGAAGAATCACCAGATGAAAAAATGGATCTCTACAAACAACCCGTGCATGATTCAAGCGAGGAAATACAGGGACACAAAAGCAGCTAACAACAGCCGAACAAGAGCAGAAAAGGCCGAATACACGAAAACAAATAAATAGAGAAAAACATTGGAACTAACATGGGGACACATATGGAAGACCTAACAACTGCAACAGAAGAGGTTTCGTGAGAACTACAAGACGTAACTCAGGAACTATCAGGAAGGATTAGCCAACCGGAATGATAAGTTAAAGAACAGAACGTGAACTGGTGTGCTGTTTGTATTTTACGTATGGTCTGTTTTTATAAATACTATGAATCACAAGCGGGATGAGTTGTCTGGTGTGTCAACTTCATGAAGCACCTGGTTATCCCTCTCTCGCATGGTTGCCTGATCACAACTAAATGCATGAAAGAATACATCCCCACTACACTTCACGCCTGTGCTTTTTGTTCCAATGTAGTACACTATTTTAATATTAAAGTCCGATATTGACGCTGTCAGACGTGACTCTTGATAATCAGATGGTCGCTTCTACCTTTGATTAGGAAGATAACTTATTGAAAGTGGTATTACTTTATTATACGATTATCAGAGCAAGAAATAAGTTCAACTTGGTTGCCTTTAGTCTCGTGGCTTATTCACCAATAAGATAACAGAAGTTTGTCCTTCAAGTGCGAACGCACTTTAATTGGCCTTGGATGCCAATGGATCTAAGTCTCGAGAGAGATTGTATGAAAGGTTACCTTTATAAGTGGACAAATTACTTGAAGGGATATCAAAAAAGATGGTTCGTATTACAGAATGGCTTGTTGTCGTATTACAGGTATCCTTTTTTCCTGATTTTCATTTTTGCCAGGAATCCAGCAGAGATGGCTCATACTTGTCGTGGAACTATCAAACTTGCGGATGCTACTGTTAAGAAAATAGGGGCGGTCTACTTGGAAATCTCGAATAGCAGTGCACAAAAATTTCACATAAAGGCTAACTCTGAGAGTGAGCAACTAGCATGGTTGTCAGCCCTTTCTAATTCTAAAACAACTGCAGTGGCTTTACGGAAGCAAGGTAAGAAACGTTGTTGGGTCAGAATTACATTCAAAAATTTGAAATTTGATCAACCATAGATTATCACTCACTTGGGGCAAAACGCTTTTGGCATGTTTGGTTTGTTTTGACTCATCATACGGTGTTAATACTAAATCTTCACTAAGGGTTAAAACTAAGAATGAGGATTTATGTTTACTGAGACTCCACTTATTTAGGCATATATATGTCTGTGTGTTACCATGATTCTGAAATTTTATATTGACGTGAACTTTCTAGGCATTGTTACGTTATTAATAAATTGATATCTATAACTTCAGTTCAGTATCTGTTTGGTAATGGAGATTCCCGTACACTTCGTATGGGCTGAAGGTATAAAAATGATGTATATCAGGGGAGAAAGCCCTATTTCGCCCTCGCTTGACTGCCTGGGTGAAGAAATAAGCTTTAGCCAGCAAGTGAAGCTATGTTTAACTGTGTTCAACCCTAAGTTTATTGTTTTTAGTTTATGCTAAATGTAAGACCATCTGAGCCGATGTATGCAACCCCTAGACGTTTATCACTTAAAGTTCGTTTATTTTTTCATTTATATAATCACGAAAGCCATGTTGAATGCATACTAGTATGTTTCCCTCGTAAGTCGGGTTCCCCAAATCAGCGAGCGCTTATAGTGTATTTTTCAAATGGTAGCTTTCTTTACGACCAAACTTTGTTAGTATATGTTATTATTGTATCTTGTTGAGATCACAGCATTTCTGAGTTAGTCCCTAGGTTTTATATATCCCTACTCTGACCTATCTCCAAGATATATGCCTTGTATATTAGTACACACCATGCAGTAGTGATAGGGTTTCGCTTTAATGGTATTTGTGTATTGTTCCAACCTTAATGACTCCATTTATTTGAACACAAACATTGGTGTAGGGGGTACCAAATATATATGTGCCACAAAATAACAATGAGGCCAGTAGTAGTTATCATTGATTTGTATGAGGGCCGAAATACTGCCCAGGCGCCCAAGCCAAAGCAGATGGTCTTACTAAGAGACCACTCCCTGAGCATTTCACTTGGAGGTCTAATCTACAAGGCAGTGGAGCAACGTTAGAGGATGCTGTCCCATGGACCCTCCGTGTACAACAACTCGATTAAAGAGCTGGACATTCGCTTTTCGTCCTCTCGATTTTGTGAACAACACCGCTACGAGAAGGCAGTTTGTGCAGTCTTTTTATCTATGTATAAATAACTGTTATAAGATGAATAATCCTGTGGGTACAATTTTATGCAGTCAATCCAAATAAATCTTCTGGTCATTTTAATTTAGTCATGTTTTATTTTTGGTTTGCAGATTTATGTTAGCTATCACATGCTTGAATTCAGAGATGTCACTATGCATTATAACTGATGCCTAAAACGAACTTAATCCACTATATTGCGGCAAGATATTTTTACTCATCTATCCCAGCCTAGAGCTGTGGAAAGTAGTCGTAAATACACAGTTTAGATCGCATGGTGCAGCTTAACAACAATGTAATATGATTGTTACCCATTCTGACTACTTGTAAAATATTGTAAAATACTGTTTCAACATGATGTTTCGCCGTTACATAACCATTTGTGCTGGTATTCAGGATTTCTGTGTCTGACCGGTTAACCATGCGAATTTGCGATTTTTGCCTGAAATTTTGAGCGCTAAAAATTATTGGGCTTCCCATCTCCGATACAATCATTGTCGTTTGTTATCATCCGTTTTTGTCAAGCTTATATTTCCCTCTCCCCTTTCACCCTTTCGCATAATGAGGTGTAGGGTCTCAGCAATTTTATTTTTCTAACGCAGGAATCTCAAACTTGCTTATTTCATTTCGACGCAACGTAAATTCAGGTGACGTCATTGTGGTATATGATACTAATAAAAGCATTCGAGACATTTTAATCTGTCTTCAGTTTTTTCGTTAGAAAATGATTACTTACATCATCGCTGATCACTTTTTGTAGTCAATGCAAGTTAACATCAAGTTGTGGATTCTTTATTATTGTGTAAGTTGGTGCTTTGATAAGGTGACCAGCTTTGTCTATTGTGATCACCCACTAAAACCATATGTGGAAAATGTTTGATGGTTTTCGTGCACCAGATAAATGGATTGAGGACATTGTAGCTTGATGTGACGAATGAGAAAAGTTTCGGACTGATAACCAGAAATTTTGCGTTTCTACTTATCAATGGAGGAATTATGAAAGGCTAAACTTACAGAGGCTTCAATTCACTTTTTCTCATGAGTTTCTAGCATTGCATTTAACTTTTCAAATACGGGAAGCGGTCAGTACTGAAATCTATTGGTCATAAAGTGGTATATGTGACTGTCAGCATGTGAAGAACATCAAGAAAGAAATATTTGTTGTGTTAGAAGCCGGGAAATGTTAATAGTTCGAGTAGTTCTTTTACGACTACAATTCATCCTGTTCTTCATCAACCCGTTTTATCTTCTTAGATCGTCTTCATCTTTTATCAACCCTTTACTCTATTCTTAACCTACTGTATACGTAATCAGTGTTCTAGGAAAATTTCGACTTAAGTCTTTAGAAGTTGAACTACCAGGTGGTCCTCTTTTCGACTTGAAGAACGCAAAAGACATTCTTATTTGATGAAGACGCTGACAAAATACAGTCCTATGATCACCTTAGTTAACAATCCGTTTATCTCTAACTGCAGAATGTTGCTTCAGGATTGGTCTTTACCAATAACTAAATTAATGGTGGGGCGTAAAGTAGTTGAGCACGTCTGTTCTTATCTTCCTCTAGAATTTAAATTATCACCTTATAAATACAATTTCTGGTTTTTGGAATCATGTTCTCAATCTTCAGTCATTCTTATCATGGTTTCTGCTAAATTATTTTGACTTCTGTTACATTTTATCGTGTTGTTTTCACCACACGGTGATAATGTAGATTGGCTACTTGAGTAAGAGCACATGTGTGCCAGCATCTAAGTTGATGAGTGACTTTTACTGGAATCACTTAACTATTTAAGTTCATGGAACGACATTTTTAGTTTCCTATAGTTAATCCTCAAGCGATATTTTATGACTTTAAATCGGACAAATCTAACTAACCAAGACTGATATCTTATTTTATTAATTTCTGTTGCCTCTTTAAAATCCCCATTCAAAACTCATGTATTTATAGTTTTTCAGCCAGACTATATCAGTTTGGAGTTCCAGCGTGCTTCGCTTTTTTGACATACGTAGGCTTGATAACAACGTATATTGATATTGCAGGCATAGGTGTATCAGAAAGCAGTTAAAGCCATTTTTGTCCTGAATTGCGGTAGTTGGTCGTCTGTGTTTCCCAATTTAATGAGGTTGTACGGATTTGAATAGATCGGGTTGCATGACATAGCTACTTTCAGTCCGTCTGCGTTCTTACTGACTACATTTCTGGCAAAATGAAATATCAGTTCTGCTGAAACTTGTCTTCATGAAATATGAGCACCCAAATGTACGTAGAATGGACAGTTTAAATGACCAAATATGTAGGCCAAGTTAAATTGATAGCCACTTAAGTGGTGCTCATGGAATTTCAGCTCAGCAAATTGATAATCATTCGTTGCATCTGTAGTTTCACTTCCCACTTAAAGTGTTGAAAGAAATACCACGTAGTATTTTGGCTTGCAACATTGACCCTATGGTTGAGATTAGTAGCCCGTATCTCCGTTAACCTGGGTCATTTGAAGGCCGTCGCTTCTTTTAGAGAATATGTTTAGACCTTGGTGAGAATTCTTTGGGTCTAAATGCAAGTAAATCGAGTGCAACCAGGATACTTCTCCAAATTCTTCTCGGAAGCAGATATATTGGCAACACAATAATGAAAGGAATAGCTAGGCACTTAACAACTCGTGAACATGTTCATTTCGAAATAGCCTAATATGATTCCAATTTTACAATAAAAGTAACAGGATTGTCTGTCAATAAACTTTACTAAAAACAGTAGACAACTATTTTAATTGATTAAGTCAACAGCTTAAAGGTTCAGCGATTATTATGTCTTCAAAGAAAGAATATGATTTATAGCTATATAGTTTTGTAAAAATCGGAATGTTCTAATTACTGTAAGTTTCACGTTTTAACAGATTACTAGTCAAACAAAGCCAATATTTTGGAATAGGAGTAAAATATTACGTAATTGAGAATTTCGTGAGGAACATCAGTTTTAGGTTTCTAAACGTACCTAAAACTAACGACAATTTCAGGGCACTAATGTGTGGTCAGCCTTAAGTATAAGTTTCGATTCTAGAGCATCGAATTACAGTTATGATATAACATTTTCCAACCCAATTAACCATAAATTTATCAGTTAGTTGATTTGTTTTGGACACTGCGCTAAGTACTTGACAGCTTCAGAATAAAACACTACCTTCGCTTGTTATTCATAGTGATAAGAACATTTCGTACAGCATATATATAAATTCATTATTTAGTTATTTAAAGTTTGAGTGTCATCACTGGAAGCAGTTGTATCACGCTATATTGGTTAACTTTTGATCATTGTGGTTTGTATCTCTGTGATCATCCACAGTAAAATTTATGGATAATTCAAGTGGTGTTAATTCTGATTTTCTCACTTTTCAATGAGCTTGTACAGTGTGCCATAAAAGCATTGATGCAGAAACAAACGTATATAACCAACTAAACAGTTACCAAGTTGTCAACGGATTTGGATTTTCTTGACCATTGTTTTTCTTTGTATATCAATCAATGCTTATACTCTTTATATATTACTGAGTAAGACATAACTTTCTACACGATACTAGTCACTACTGGACCTAACTCATGCGTAAACCATGTCTTAAGATTTTTGCAAAGAACACGAACAATTTTATTTAATGGAGATATTAATGTGAAAGTAGTCAGACAGGCTACAAAGTTGTTACCTTGACGAAGTGTAAATATAAATAGCTGCTTAGGTACTTTTAAGTTGTTCCATAGCAACTTTCCCGAAAATTCGAATTCCAGTTCAATTCATTATTTTGTTCTCTCACGTAGGTGTTTTGTATTGATTAGATCAGTTTCTAAAAGCTTAAATGTTTTTTAGTAGATGGTAATCGTCAGAATACGTGATTCCCACTGCAGTAACTTAATTGCTAATTGTGAGCACATGTTTAATATTCCTACTTGTTATAATCTCTTTTCTTACGGTTATGACCCAGCTATTCCTATTGCTTAGTATTCTCGGACACCGATTCACTCGATAAGTCCCCAAATCAGAACACGGTTGAACAGGAAGGAGATTATATTCCAAATAACAAGGTTAGATGGAAGCAAGTCAGAAGCACAATAGAGAAAACGTCAGTATACTTACAGTTTTTTACATGAGAAGATTCTAGAGTATTCTCCAACTTTCGACTAGTGCTGATTGGACAAGAATTAGGCAATCAGCGTGCACCAGAGCAATCGTGAATTGAGCATGCTTTAATCTAGTCTGTGTCCCGCTAACACCTCCCCTCTGAGCAGATTCGTAGGATCTGGTGCTAGGGTCCAACTGCAACTGAGTGACTGGCTTGTGCTTTTGATTAGTTCATCGTCTAAGCAATAAAGAATTATCACTTTTTTCTTGCACAGAGACTGACATGTCTGTTCCCGGCGTTTTGATTTTTTTTTTAAAAAAAGTATGCATAACTTTTAATTCTCCAACATTCTCCTCCTCCGCGAAACAATGTCGGATCCTTATATCTCTAAGTTACAAATAATAGGACTTTATTTAAACGATGTTTCTTGCATTGAATGTCGGATCCACTAGAAATGACTAGATGATAATGAACGACCTTTGATTTGAGGTCAGAGTTTAATTCTTCTGAAGCATTACTTTTAAATCCATTAGAAATTTCATCAGTGGATAATGGATCATTACGAAAATCAACATCTAACAAAATTGAATTAGACTTTTGACCATAATTTGACTCAGCCGACATATTTTCCTCATTTTTATAAGAAATTTCATCAAAATTACATGCATTATTCTGAGAACCCATATCTGATACATTGTCATTAGAAATCGGATAAGCTGATTCAATATAAATTTCTGTCTCACAATGATTTTGAGTAACATTCGGTATAATTGGGTTAATCGTGTCACTGCAGTTATTTTCTGAATACGAGTCCCCATAGCTTTTTCGGCTAATATCACGTGGACCATAATTTTGTTCTAGCTGAAGTTTATTTTCAGGGCTAGACAGGACCAGTAGTGTTTCATTCAATTCTGGACTCCGGGCTTCATCTACAGGGTCTGGCTCTTGATCATCTCGTATTGCCACAACTTAATGAGCATTCAGCACAGTATTTTCTTGCTGTGAGCCGGAAATGTTACAAATGTTACGTTCTGATTCAGGTATAAAGGGATTTGAACCCTCCACTAGATATGCTTCTGAAATGTCTGTTACTGCATCATAAACAGATTTCTTATTTTCTGGTCGAGTGAAAAGTGTGCTCAATAGTTGTTGTTACAAGGCTAACAACTTCTGCTGGTGCTGTAATATTAACCGCAACTGTTCTAAAGAAATCGCCATTTTTCTTTAGTTTTTCCCCGTCGCCACTGTTATAATCTCTTTCTTCTTACGGTTATGACCCAGCTATTCCTATTGCTTAGTATTCTCGGACACCGATTCACTCGACAAGTCCCCAAATCAGAACACGGTTGACAGGAAGGAGATTATATTCCAAATAACAAGGTTAGATGAAAGCAAGAAGCAAATCAGAAGCACAATACTACTCCATAGCTCAAATATATATATATATATATATATATATTCTCCATTAGTGTGAACTTTACTTCTTAATAACTGTTTGCGGTCAATTTTTTTCCATAAATAATTGTAATGGTCATACTATCATTGCGTATAGCGTTCATTTGTTGCTGTAAGTTATTATTTTACCTGTAAACCCTCTGATTGAACAAAGATTATACAACTTGAAATCTCTAACTGCACTACTGTCGTCGATAATTCATTCAATTAGCAAAGCCTCGTTACTCGATAACATATTTTTTGTGTACATATGGTACATGATTAAATTACCCATTAATTATTTACTTTCAGGTTATGATTCAGATGCGTATGCTGATGGATATGAAGATGATGATGATTACAAGACATCGTCTACCACTGACGAAAATGGAATTAGGTTTATTAACGATGGGCTTGTAAAACTTGAAGCCCATGTGACTGATCTTGAACGTTATCAGTTGACAATGGATCGAAAAGGTGAGGAACTTCGACGTGCTGTCGGTGATGTAGAGTCTGCTCGTGATCCCACTGAATTACTGCAACGTTTTAACTTGGCTCGTGAACGTGCCACGGTTTTCAAGGTCGCCAGTATGGCGATGGTTAATGTAAGTCACTTAAATGTATCAATATCAATATTGTTCATTATTAGACACGACCCTTCGTTGGGAGATAAGTATTTTCACTTGTTCGTGTGGCTAACCGTGAATGTAAACTGGTTTGTGGTTTTGTTTATCTAATATCTCCCATTGACTCGGCCCCCAACTGTTGTGAAACTTTTCGTGTGAATTCAAATGAAAATTCTTGTAGGATTGTCTTTGTACATTATGACTTCCTATGTAACAGCATTATGTGGAGTAATTATTCTAGAATCAACTATACATGTGGTGGCGGCTAGATTAAAATTTTGTTATACAAAGTACCAAGCTGATCAAATTAATCTATTAAAGCAATGATGTTTTCTAAAACTCATGAGGCTATTTTTGAACTTGTGTGGTATACCTTAACGTGCGCACGGGACTAATCATAAAACAGCGTATATCTTTGCTCATATATCATGGTCTTTATGACACATTACTTATGATCTCTGGTCGTCGTGACCGCTTATCATAAAGTTCCACATTACTTATGTTCCAGTGTGATGTAAAATCAGATTTCGGCATGTTAATGACCATATTTTCTTAAGTCTAAAAATTCATGACATATATTTCTGTGTGTGTCAGCACGTTTGCTTATTTCATTGTCCAGGATTTTCGATGTAGTAATTATTTTTCTGCATGCATAGTGTTTCCATAAATTATGTCACCCTCAAGATTCTAGCTTTTTCAATTTGCATGATACTAAGTTCTTTTGAATTTTTCGGAACTTAATCGAATCTGCTTGATTCGCATATTTATTATGCTTTTGTTCAGTTAATGTTCCAAAGTTTTTAGAAAGTTTTACTATGTACACCTAAGTGTGGTCTAATACACAATATTAGCTTTAAGCACTGTAAATTCGTCAGTCCTTATGTGCCATGTTGTATTGTTCGTAGTTTACTTTCGCATACATCATTTTTTGTCTACGCTAAGTTGCGTCTAATTTCTTTGCATATCCACGACAATTTAGTGAATAAGGTTTGACAGTCAAAATAAATAAGAATTTTTGAAAACATCTATTCTAGTATTATTTTCTTTTGTTTGTTCGTTCTATATCTAATGTGTATTATCTTGATTGTTTTTATGGGGTATTTTAAAGGTTCTTTTATATTTCAGTATGTACATAAAAGTAATGATTTTTGGCATGATCCTATCTCTAGGCTTCTTATAGGAATAAAAATAGAGTTTGTGGTTTGCTGGGTCAAGGCCATTTAAACATACTGGTGTATGTGAATAGTGTAATGATTGTCACAAACTATTATTATACCACAAATATCTCCGTAAAATTCTACAGTTGAACCAAGTAAAATATAATCTATTCAATTCACAAATACCCTGGTCGATGTTTAGAATTTCGGTCTTTCACATAATGTAGGCATGCCATCGTCGAAAATCGACAGTTTATTCACAACTTGCAAAATAAATATCTGTATTTTAAAGAGAGCAAGAACAAAAATTGGTGCAGAATAATATGAATTCATTTTATTTCGTTAGGTTCTCATCGGCTGCTTACAACCTAAATTATTTAAAATTCAACGTTATTATAGATATTGACATACTTATATATAAGAGTGTGATTAAGGATCAATACATGTGTATGATGATGTAGCGAATATTCAGATAGAGTTAATGAGCTCGTAAAATGTTTGATTCGAATAAATAAATAAAGTTTGAGAGGGAAAGTTCCAGAACATTGAAATAGTGATTAGAACTCATGAAAATTGATTAATGGTAATAAAGAAAATATGAATTGAAATCAATCAGTTATGTATGATGTAATTTATATTTCAGAAAGAGTTGCAATAATGACGTAATAAATAAATAAATAGGAGCAAATTAATAGAAAGAGTGGGGGTTATTGTTACCAGGGTAAAGAAAGATTTATTACTGTCTCTTTTTGTATACATAGATCTGGTTTTAAACGTTTGATTGCTAACGCTTCAGCGAATTTCAAAAGGTTCGAGTTTGATTGTTTGTTAATCACCTTGAAGGACTTCAGTATATCAGCTTTATGTCCTGTATCAAGGAGATGTCTGGCGATAGCACTGTTGAATGCGTTCAATCCATTTAACCTTAAACTTTTCGGAATATGTTCTTTGAATCGGACGTAGGCTCTCCTTTCTGTTCTACCAATGTAACTGCTTTGGCAGGTACATGTAAATTTGTATACACAGTTGGTGGTAACATGAAAGGGATACCTATCGACCTTTGATTGTGTCAAAGAGCATGTTGTTTTGGACAGGACAATCAATTTCGCTGCAGGATAAGTTCTTGTCAGTGCAGTTTTTAGTTTCATATTGATTGATCCTGTGACATCGTCACCTTTGAATTGAAGTTTAATAAAAATAGGCTTTTTATTTGCTGTAATTTCTTTCGGATTTTTAACTTCACATTTGCCGTATTTCTCAATAAATTTCAGTGGGTATCCGTTATTCTTTAAACATTTTTTAACATTCATAACTTCCTCTTCTAGTGTATCGGAAGTACATATTCTTTCTGTTCTGTAAAACAGTGTTTTGACCAGTGCCTTTTTGTAACTGATTGGACAAAAGCTATTGAAATTAAGATAACTACCATTCCATGTGTCTTTCTTATAAACTGAACGTTGAACTGTACCATCTTTTCTTCTTTTCATCGCGATATCGAGAAAATGGAACTTGTTTTCTTTTTCATGTTCCATAGTGAAATGGATATTCGGATGTGCTTCATTGAAAAACTCTAGCAGATTTATTGCATGTTGTTTATTATTACATACGATGAAGGTATCATCAACATATCTCGAATAATACGTCATTTCATCAATCGCTCGTTTGAGTTTGGTTCTTTCGAGGTTAGCCATGAAAATATCTGCTAGGATAGGACCTAACGGACTTCCCATCGCTACACCATCGATTTGTTTGTATATGATATCGTTGAACTGGAACTGAACATCTTTTGTACAAATGAGTAATAGTCGTTTGAATTCTGGTACTGGTAGAGGTAGGATGTCAGAATGTTGACAAATTATGTCTATGGTCTCAAGAAGTGGTATTTTTGTAAACAAAGATGTTACATCAAAAGAAACCATAAACTTACCGGCAATATTTATGTGATTCATGCTGTCAGCAAATACAAATGAATCCTTTAGTGTATAGGTGGCTAATCGTTGACGCACTGGTTCTAACTTATCTGCCAACCATCGTGCAACTTTGTGGTATGGTGAATTGATCATTGACAAAATAGGTCTAAGAGGATAACCTTGTTTATGTATTTTCGGTAATCCATACATGTGGGGCAAACGAGACCCACGAGGTCGTAGATTATTGTAAGTAGAGTTATCGATCATCTTCTTTTTCAGAAGATCTCTGAGTACTTTGGTGATTCTTTTCTCAATGGAATCAGTTAAGTCTTTGTTACTTTTCTCTAACTTGAATCTCATATGGTCATTCAAGATGGACTTCATCTTAAAAACATAATCTGTTTTGTTCATTAGAACAACACTTGAGCCTTTGTCTGACCGTAATATCATTATATCGTCATTTCGTTTAATATTTCGTAATGCTGTTTGGTGGTCTTTGGATAAAAGCTTAGACTGTGGTGCGGGTGAAACAAGATATTGGTTTGCAATATCGACTAGTTTAGATTTAAACCAGCCTTTCTTTTCTTCACTAACTGGGTGCAACTCTTTAATTTGATCAAATAAATTCTCAAATTGAGTTTCTGTGTCGATTCTGTCGGCATGTGTTTTGGGGATAGTTGTGTGTGGACAATCTTTACAGACCTCTTTAGTTTTATTACTCCAACAATTTTCTCCTTTAATTTTCTCATACTTTTCATTGTGTTATCTGTGCTTCATTTGGATTTATACTAAGGTTTTAAATTTTGAAAATAATATAAACAAGCTTTTGTAGTTTAGGGCGGTTACTATAGTTTCATATTCTGATTATATCGATCAACTTGAACTCAACTCGCTTGGCTATCATTTACTAGTATGGGAGAACAGTACTGGATAAACAATTGTTCAGAATTGTATTATCAGCACGGTTTCTTGGTTTTGTTTTCGTTGCGTTAAAATCCTTTTTTCCGAGTGAAGGTATCATTCTGATAAAATCTTAATCCACCTTATATTTAGCATTCGTATTGGAAATCATTTTATCAGATCGGTAGTTTCCACTGTTTGAACTCGTATAGATTGTGTTTCATTGTCACTGCCTGTTCATGATACCATTTTTATGAAAATAAAACTGACAAAATTTTCTTTGTCTAAAAGAATTGTAAGTAGTTATTTATTATTTATATCGTCACCAAATATATTCAATCCGTATATAGAATAACATGATGTTTCTAATCACTTGTAACAAATCCCTTAGTTTTACTTCCATATATGGTTTATCTCGATGATGTTTATGAAACGTTAATAATTATCGAATTTAAAAGCTCAAACTCGTTCACTAAAACTTAATTTTGATAATCGCTTTTTTCCATCTAGAGGTATTTCATTTCTAGTTCTTAAATTGTTTATCCTTCATATATATTCTCTTTCCTTCGTGCTTGTCAAGCCAACATATGCATAGAGGATACCGTCATCCATTACTTGTTTTACGAAATGATGAGCTCGACTGATGTCTTCTTAAATGTTTGTGGGAACATTTCACGAGATAGACTATTTAACGACTACCCATGTATATATTTCCAACCAGTTATAAAGAGACAGAAAGTAATTATTTTGATTTATTATGTGAACTGTATAATTAATATTATGTTTGGTCAGTATATATGTATGTGCACTAGTTTTATACAAACTACCAAGACAGTCATTGTTTTTTCAATTGTACGTATTTTTTTCTCGTATTTCCCATTCATTACTATCACATTTGCTCTTCAATTTTTTAGGTTGTGAAATTAATTCACTTTAGAATAACTATATTTAGTATTTTTTTCAATATTTCATGCTAGTATTGATATAGGTAAAGTGGTCTTTTCACATATTAATTACTCGGAGCCAAATTATTGTGTAGCTTTGTAACATTTCATGTTAATTTTTTGTTGGGGATGTTAATTCTTCAGAGCTCACTTGGTAATTATCTAATTTTTGTAACTTTATGTCGGAAATTTGAATTTCTTGTTTCCGCGCCAAAAAGCCATTTTCACCGTCATGTCATATTTTCCACTTGGGAGGACCTTAAATGTTATTGGTTCATTATCTCTTAATATGCTGTTTTGTAACATTTTCCAAGGACATTTTTATACTGTATATATACACTTGAATTGTGCTTAAGGCTTTTGTGCGTGTTTTTCGTTGCTTGTGGAATACATTTCCCTCCTCTGAATCTGAACTTCTCTCTCTAGTTAGCGAGCCCGGGACACATCGGAATAGTTAGCTTATTTTGTCATTTGGTCACTGAGTCTTCGTTCCGTTCGCAGATTAAGTGAACTCGTAATCTCTTCAAACATACCATTTTTTTAAAGGATTTCGTTCCTATACGGTAATTATTATCATAAATGTAAACTGTTATTGTTTTGAGCGATTTAGTTGGGTTTACATAGAACTTATCATGGAACACTATAGGAAGAGATTAGTACTGAAACTGTAAACGACTTGTTCTAGAATATGCCAATAGATTAATCTTATCTGATGAGTTTCATTGTTCCAAGAATCCAATGCTACACCTACTAAGTGAATTGAAGTGCATTAAGTGAGGAATAAACATAATAGTTGGTTGTTTTTAAGTGAGTGGAGTGTGTTTGTATGTTTTTACATTGGTGTGAACTAATAAGTTTATTGATACGTACTACATTTTACTCAGATTACCAGGAGTTTTATAGAAATTAGAACAACAACCAATAAGTCTTCAGTTAATGTTAATCAAAGTCGTTATCATTGCGGTGACATAGTGGTTAACGTACTCCGTTTTCTACCTTTCGGTTAATTTCGTTTGATCACCTGTGTAGTATCACTAGCATAAAACTGACTACATTCATCTGTATTTGGTTTCTAAGTTATGTTAAATTTGGGTATTATAAGTTATTATTATCAAGCCTAGAAAACATCGAATACAATAGTTTCGGAAATTAATTGCATCTCCGTAATTCAAACAGATGGATTTTTCACTGTATTAGATTGTATTTAATCCAATCATCTTTGAGTTCGGCAATGGATTAACTGAGATGAAAACCTGATTTTATGGTATGGGGTTGTGAGATTGTTGAATTTCATTAAAATCATGGACCGACCTAAATTAGACCACCACTGAAAACCTGGGAGCACTGGACGACAGTTTCATCCTAGTATGGAACTTCGCAGCAGTGCATGTTCACGGTTTCGCAAGTGGAAATCAAACGCTTAACCTCTAGACCACTGATCCGGCATCCAACAGTAATAATGCCCTACTTCAATTAATCCACGACATTGCCCAGTGGACTGTAGGTCCTAGGTTCGACCTCCGCGCGCGGGATCGTGAATGCTCACTGCTGAGGATTCCCATACAATAACAGAATGGCCGCACAGTGCTCCCAAGTTTTTCAGCGGTGGTCTAATTTAGTCCGGTTCATGATTTCAATGAAAAACCTGTTTCACTGCTATTTACAAATCATAAGTCTCTGGAATACTAATCTGGCACTATTGCCAGTCATAAACTTTGGTTGCTATTTCAGGTTTTGATCAAAAAATTAAACTGGGATTTTATTAGTGCAGAAAATGTTGCAACATTCATTTGGTGTTTTCAGTAAATTAAACGGGTTTTTTATTTAAATGAAAAGTGAACATTTTGTATATTATCTACTCAGTGAATTTCTTATTGCGATATAATCAGACGTTAGTATACTTCTTTTGATGTGTTAAATTAGTTTCTTTCTGTTAGGGAGATCCAAGGTTATTCCTCGTACAAGTTTAGAGGGGCCCTGTAAACTGGCAAACGTTTTGCCCAATCAGTGTTGAATAGAAGTTCCTCAAAAACATCTAGAAAGTAAAAAGTCATGTGTAACATTTCTGGTTGGATAATTACCTACTCCGATGCTGTGCTTAATATGGTCTCATAAACTTCCAGAAACCCGATACAATGTAAAATATTATAAATACCCTAGATTTTCTCTACATAAACTAACTTTGGAGTCAAGCGTTATTTTCACACTTCGTTCCTTTTCTCTCGTGTTCAAGTTGTCATGTAGGTTTAGCCTGGGGTTATTAAAAGAGCTTGAGAAACCGATTCAAGTGTTCGTTTAAAAGACTTATCACTTTTGTCTGACAAAACTTTTCGGGATAACGATAATGAAGTTAAGATTCCTATTTAGTTTATTGCCTGCATTCTTCACTGAGCTCATAATCTTATTAGTGCTATCAGTTATTGTGTTATGAAAGACATATCTGTCAAATAAAGCATGGAGCTGGAGTTTAATGGTTTAACTTCCAGCTACTCATACCAAAGTACCTAATAAATGACTTAGTTTTTTTAAAAATTTAAGTAAGGTATACTTTTTTCTTTTTCTTCCATACAGTCTTGTTCTGAATTTACGCATTTTACTCGTGGACAGTTTGCACGATGGCAGCGTATATTCAACAATCAAAATGAACGTTGTGCTTTACTTGAACAAATGATTGAACAATTAGCTAAACAGTTACGTCAGTTAGAATGTTTAACGAGACAAAATAATCCGCAATCAACCTTAACACTTGGATCAAGTGGTTAGTTTACATTAATTATATTATTATATATTTATTAGAAATGATTTTTCATATCATTTGATTTATTGTCATTGTTCTTTTGATTTCAAGTTAACCTGACGATTGTACAAGTCTTTACCGAAAAATAACTTAAAACACTTACGTAATTATCTAGTTATCTCTCGTGGCGCATAAGCCTCCGATCAGGAGTCTTCAGCCAACTATGCCCTGGGTTGTCCTTTCCAATTGTTGTTATATATATAAATTGTATCGAGTTTAGGTTTATATCTTTTGCTTCAGCTTTAATGTGATCATAAATATGTGTGTTTAAAGGAGTTTCCATCCACTCTATTTTACTTGTATTAATGGATTCCCCTTTCTGCACCTAATATTTACTACTAATACTTCTACTAATATAGGGTTTGTTTTGATAATTTGTATCTCGTTATGCTAATTTTTTGGCGACTTGAGCAGACGCATGTGTCAGGTTCTATGCTGCTCGTATATCCTGGGACCATCGAGTAAGTAACACAGTTGTTAGGAAACGGATACTAGGTAAGGATGGCAAATCAATTGATGAACTAGTGAAACTTCATCAGTTGAGATGGCTGGGACACATGTTACGTATGCCCAATGACCGACTGCTTCGACGTGCGATGTTCAGTGGTATAGGAGTAGGTTGGAAGAAAGCTAGAGGCGGTCAAACCAAAACATGGCACAAGTCCATGAGGTCACTGACAAGTGAACTGAGTCATGTTGGTAGGTGTAAACTACTTGGTTGGGGACCACGAGATGATAGCAACCGATGGTTAGAGACCCTGAATGACATGGCTCAAAATCGTTTGCAATGGCGCAGGTGCATCCACTCTTTGTGTTCTCCCAAATTTTGATCTCCTTATTCCTCCTTGTATCTTTTTTCTCTTCCCAAATTTATTTCACTGGATTATACTCTTTAAATAACATCTCCAAACCCTAATCTTTCCGATTACTGCTTATACTCTTACTACCTCTACCACTACGGGATTTGAATCGACAACTGCATCTCTGTGCTAATGTGGTGTGGCAACTCGAACTGATGTACGTGAGTACGAAGTTCTACGTTGTTACTGACTGATGCTGCATATGATATCGCATGATTTTCTCTTTTCCTCTGTGTTGGTAATATGAGTGATAAATGATTATGTGGTGTGTAAAAACATGATCTATACGTCTTCATGTTAAGACATACTTTTTTATGTGACTCGTTTTTTTTAACTTTTCGAGGATGCTGTGTGTAATCCGGTTTATTATATCAGCTTAACATTTATAATGTAGAAAATATTTCCCTAGTTTGAGTTTTCTAACATATACTATTCTTCGTCCTGCCTGACCACATATTCCGGTCTTCTGGTGTATCTGTAGGTATATTCTATGCTGCTCATTAACATATTTTTATATGCGGCATTTTGCAGACTTTCTTATGGTCAAAATGATACTTCATTGGATTCAATTATTTTTTTTCAATATACCACTAGGTGCATTGACCACTGATTTTGCATTTATTTTTGCTGTCAGATTCAGAAACAAGAAATCTGTATCATCTTCGTAAGCCCCCGAATGCCCTGGTACGGCCGAGAGTGGGGAGAGTTCGCTCTTCCTCTCGAAATGCTCTCACATGGCCACGCGTATATAGCCTCTGCCAGGGAAGTCCTACTCACTGCCTTCTCGTGGTGGGGGTATTGTTTACGAAAATGAGAGGACGAAAAGTGAATGTCTGGCGCTTTAACCGGATTCCAAACCAATGGTGCACATGGGCTCCAAATGGCGCATGAACCAATTGTTGGTCACCGGCTTCCATGGGACTGCATCTCCTTACGATGCTCCACTGCCTTGTGGATCAGACCTTCAGGTCGAAGGCTCGGGGAGTGGCCCCCTAAGAAAACCACCTGCTTCGGTTTGGGCACCTGGGCAGTACCACAGCCCTCACACATCGAATGAGATTTGTGTGGCGCATATGTATTTGGTGCCTCCTTGTGCCAATATCTTTGTGTTAAAATAAATAAATAAATAATCATCTTCGTAAAGGTTTTGTTTTTACTTGATCTCGTCCGATTTCTAAACCTATATTGATATGCGTATAGAATTCAATATCAAATTTCTTGAATACTATTTTTCCTTGTCGCGCTTGATTTTATCCAATCTTATTGTCGCAAATTATAAGTAATGAATTAAATAGTCAATGTCAATCGTTGTCAAAAACGATTAGTTTTATCTGTTTGGGTGTGTTAATTACAAACTTGATGTTACTGTAAAGTAATTTACAAGAGGGTTATTTTATTTGAGTGTTTTACAAAGTGTTTCTAAGCAAGTGTTTTTTTTAAGATTTCGCTGTTATATTTCACCAACTAACGACTACGATATCAAATACTTTGTAGTTTTAACACTTATTGTTCTTAGCTTAATTATTTAAGGTTGATTCTAGTCCAAAGATGTTTTTCCTGTAGGGATTTTCTCGTGAATTCTTTCAGTATTGTGTAAAAAGTGTGCATATTGCACATGTACCGCTGGAATTAGTCTACCTCACCCAATATTGAGGGATTCTAAAGTATGTAATACCGATAGCGTCTGTCGGTAAACGGTTGAGTAGTTTACCTGCAGTAATAGATCGGTTATGGTCACCATTTGATAGAGCGCCATAGACAGTTTCCTAATTACCGTCATAGTATGAATATGAAAAACAAATAATCATTCACGCACAGATCTCTTTATGATTTATATTATAAAGTTTTAGGAATAAGTATTCGTACAAGACATCAGTCAATTTTAAACAGAAATTAACTATAGCGAATTTAAATGAATCATTTAAAATTGTGTTACGTAGTTAAGTACAACATTCTTTTTTGTGTTAAACAGCTCACAAATGATCGGATTCTTCTTGATCAAACAAGGTCATAGAGACTACACGCTTTTATGGCCTTACAGGATTTCTGCTGTTCTGAAATTTCTGTATTCTGAATTTTCTATTTGAGAGCTTATCCCCCATGTGATATAAGCCACAGGTTGAAGAACTTGGGGACCATGGATCATTGCCACAGTTTCATTCATTATTTGTGTCTTACATCTTGTCCAGTTTATTACTCATCATTTTCCCTTATTAGCTGGTACTCCGTGTTATTCATTTCTCTCGACTTTTTTGTGCTATTCTTAAGTTTAATGACACACAGGTAGTGTTCCATATTAGCATGTTTATTTACCTGTAAGTTCTGATTTAGTATTAATGTTTGCTAGTAACAAATCCAGATTTGGGGGCCGCGCGCTTAGTGTAACCAATTGTTAGAGATGATTATTGACATGGTTCACAATCAGCTGATATGGCATAGATGCGTTCGCTGTTTGTATTTCCTTGTATTTTCTGTTTTGAAGTTATCTTTTTCTTTTTATTCCTCGAGTTCATTCTCTAAGCTTATTCCCGATACCGAGTCTTTTTTTGTTACCACTGATACTGTTACTACTTTTACTGTTCTGTCAATCGTTATGATTATTTCATCTTGTTCTGATGTAGTGAATATTTATTATTCACTGCCAATCTTTATTTTGTTGATTCATCCATATATATCATGGTTTGTAGGTTGTGTAAAGATTTATGAAATAGATAGCTATATTACACAGTTATTCAGCGTGTGTACTAATCGTTGAATAATTCTTTAGATAAATATGTTTAAAGGTTTCTTCTCTTATTGTTTATGTTTTGTAAATTTAAGCTATTTACATTGTAGGTCGATAAGACTGGCTTCGTAATCTAATTTTATATTTTGGCCTAAGACCTGATCTAAAGTAATCAGTTTTTTTGTTTAGTATGTTTTAACTAATGAACTTGTGAATTATTTCGTTAATTTTAGTGTAATATATGTGTGTTGTTATCTTCATTTTTAATTTTATTAGATCAATTTATCTTATTCTTTCAAAATTATTATATGTATAATGATACTAGATATTCATATATCTTTATCTAACATCAGACAGAATAGTCATTCTAAAGAAGTCTAATTCTGGGTTCTGAGCTATTCATGTGTTACTAGTGTTAAGTAATTACGTAGTGGTCGTCTTCTCATGTTTAAAAATATCAGATTGATCAAACCATGTCAATTTTCTCAACTTCATTTAATAGCTCGTCTCATCAAATAACATTCTGTTATGCTTTCAAAAATTGTAATGTAATTTTTAAAAAATACTGTATGATGATTTAAAGTATGACATTCCTTCTAAATGTTCGCGTCTTACATCATATGTTATTTATTTATTTAAATACATAAATATTGGTAAGAGGAGGCACTAAATATATATGCGCTACACAAACCATCCGATTTTTGTGAGGGTCGTAATACTTCCCAGGCGTTCAAACCGAGGCAGGTGGTCTTCTTAGGGGACCACTGTCCGAGCCTTTGACCTGAAGATCTAATCTACAAGGTAGTGGAGCAACGTTAGGAAATGCAATCCTATGGCAACCAACAATAGGTTTGTAGGTCATTTGTCCCCTCAGGATCCTGGAGCCCATATGCATCATTGTTTTGGAGTCAGGGTTTTCTAATTCCTCCAGATGGACCCTCCGTGTCCACCAACTCGACTAAAGAGCTGGACATTCATTTTTCGTCCTATCGATTTCGTGAACAACACCTTCGTCACGAGAAGGCAGTAAGTAGGACTTCCCTGAGATTGGTTGTATACGCTTGACCATGTGAGAGCATTTCTAGAGAGCGGACTCTTCCCACCCTCGGCCGCACCAGGGCACACGTGTTTAAATACAGTTTATGTATATCTTGTGCCTATAACACAATGAACTGATATTCAATGTAACTGACTTTTAATGCACCCAAATATTTTCCTCATAAGTTGAAAAAACGTCAAAACGTGCCTTGTTTTTGTGTAGACACTGTTAGCAACCTACTCACTAGTGTTAATGAAGTAGTCAGTATTACAATAATGCCTTATGTATTTTGCGCAAAACTTAAAGTGTAGAGACGGATAACTTGTATACTATTAATAAAGTAGTTATTGGAAATAGTTACTCCTCAGAATGCTTGAAATCAACAAAAAATATCTACTGTGCTATCAAAAAGTAGATTTAATATGGGGCTTAAACTAAATTACATAACATGCTCGCTCGTAAGACAGACTGCGCGTTAAAGTACTTGATATGACGCAATCTGTGGTCAAGAATGCTTCGGAAGCTAGATAGTACACTACCACTGTAATCCTTACATTTGATTTCGGTTTCTCAAGTCTATACAGAAGAGTTACGGAGCATTGAATCATAGTTGATATCAGTTCGTGATGAAAACCTTAGACCTGATTTTTTAAATCCATCTCAGAACTCCAGTTTAACTCTTGATACCTGACCCTAACCTCTTTGTATTATCGCTGGTGTCAGTTGTTGTCGAAGTCTCTATAAATTAATTACCCTAACTCAACACTAACCTGATTCTCCATATACAAACTTAAACTTTTTCTTCTGCTGTAATATTTCAATATGTGAGGATTGGTTATTTTCATCAAAACCATTATTGCACTGTTACAGTATTGCCTTCAGTTGTTCGTTGTTTTGTTACTAGGCAGCGTTTTCTGGTTAGCTGATAGGTCGCTGAAGGTCGTCAGTTTAATATACTTTTACCTGGAAACCTTTTAAATTTGTAAGTCAGTCACTACAACGTATTTTGAGTATGACCCACTGGAACATCAAATTTACATAGCCAGAACAGTTTTTAGGTAGATATATTAATATAACATTTTAATATATACGTATAACTAGTCACGAAACAGCATTAAACATTTAGGGACATACCGTTCATCCGAACTGGGAGGTCACATCACTGTAGCAAAATCACACGTCAAAGGTACATATAATATGGATGGTTAGCTATGTATCTAATATCTGCCCCACCTCATAATATTATCTCTAGTTAGTTATTGTTTGTGGTTATGAGTCAACTGTTTAAAATTAACTCTATTCACTCAATCTCAAATAAAAATGGGTTGGACCTTACATAAACTTATGTACGTGATCTGCATCACATTTGGTTGTTTCTCTATTAATTATGTATGGATTGACCCTTTTTTTTATACTTGGTTAGATAATTTGATGTTTCGGCTTGTTCAAAATATCCGGTAGGGAAGACACTAAAATAAGAAATTAACCACCTCACATGTCTTTTGTAGCCAGTCTCGGCAATCAGTCTTCGCTTATCGATAGTCTATCTATATTTATTATGTACATCGATCAGTATTCTGCATTCTTCGACTTTACCTAATATGGATTTAAATTCCAGCCAGGACTGTTCTATTTTAGAAAGTCAATTATCAATCCTGGTTTCTTCGTTCCTAGTTTTATAAACATACTTCGTAATATAGTGGTGTGTAGTAAGAAATATATCTGAAAATTCAAGTTAAATTTTTCTCATGATTATAGCCATATGCGATTTGTTGACTTTAGAATGAATCTGTAAAACATAAATTCTGTTTCCAACATTATCAACGGATTTAGCCAAATCGAAACAAGGTTATTCTTAAGTTTATAACGAATCTATATCTTTCATTGAGTGTTTGTCAATTAGATATTTCAATTTGCCAGTTTGTGCGATTCAGTAAACTTAAGGTTTTAAGATTTCGTTGTATGTTTTTCATCAGAAACCTGAAAATATATACATTTACATCCAGCAGTTTTTGTTTGGTCTAGATTTCACTTATTTCCGCCTTCTTTTGTAAGATAGTCGACGATATATTTGGTGAAAGTGTATTTCAAAGCAGTACATTTTTCATCTGCTCTTTCATCATCGTGCTTTTTACAGTCAAACCCCTTTTCTTTTCTTTCAAATTAGGCGGAACTGTCAGTTCGTCGCTGAATATCAAGTCTGTTTGCCGACCTCCTGGCCAGGCAGTCCGTGTACAGCATTTACCACATACTGAGGCACATCCTCATGAAGAAAACGTCACCGCTTCATTGGATACTGCTCATAATACTACAACAACTGATGTTAGTGAAGAAAATTCAAACATTTGTCCTGACAAGTCTTTGAAAGCCTCAGCAAAGCCTATCAGCTCATTAGAATCGTCCGCTCATCATTTTCCTCACACTAGGGAATTTATAGAACAACATTCCTCGCAGCATAATGAAGATACTTCCGATGACGACTTTTATGATGCAGAGGAGGCTAATTCTGAATTCTCAATAACTCTGCCTGATCTTTCACCGAATGAATTGAAAAATAATGGGAACAAAGCCTCTAGAAAAACTTGCGGAAATTTGGCTAGTAACAAATCGAATGATAATCAAACAGGCTTAAATAATTCTCAAGATGAAGACTCTATAATACCTGCTGGTTCTGATATTGCTGACGAATATGAATCCGATGTGGGTTTCACTGACGATGAAGCAGATGAATATACTGATCAAAATTCACAATCGAATCAATTCGCAAAGCTACGTGAAGCACGTGTTATACAACCTCGTAGTAGACGATGTGGCAGGTAACATGAAAATCTGTTCCTTCATTGATTATATGACAGTAGTCGTTTTAGATTAGAGAGTGTCTGGAGGTTAAGCTTGTCAATTTTATAGTCTTCATAGGATCTTATTAATTCTTTTTAATCTTGTTTTAGTTACTTTGACAGAATATTTTCTCTGTAGATTTATTCATTTATTTAGTGAACCCAAGTCTATTTTTAATTCCTGATAAGCTATAATAGTGTAGTTTAGACCCTAGTTTTATACATGCCTTGGAGATAAACGCGAAATACAAAATAAATTTGTTTTTTTCCAAGAAATAGGAATAAATTATGTTCTTTTCTACTTCTAAATATTATCTTTTAGTCTTTCCTGCTAAATCCGATGTCCATCTTGTTGTGTTAATGAGGTATGGCAACTTAGACCGATGCATATATGTGCCTGGTCCTACGTTGTAGCTGACTGACTGAAATCCTACTTAAGGTTCATGTTTGTACTGTATTGTTTTATGCCTTAAACTGTTCGGCAGTACATTAATTCATCACTGTTCTTAATTTAATTTGGTTTAAAACAATCCGTGAAAACAAAAACCCCGGAAACCAATTTTGTCATGATCAAATGACAGAAGACATTAAAATTCCGGGGAAACCGCTGTAATTTCTAAATTTATTTTACTGCGATATCGTGTTTTTCTGCTAAAATTTTAGTAGTAGGAATGGTATGTATAGTAATACTTATTAGATTTATTTGTTCTGGGTGATGAATTTAAGTCTGTGTTTATGCGGACCTTGTGAGTTTTTAAAATGAACGGAATGCTGATTTATGGGCAGTGAGTTTTGAGATGATATCGCGGAGTAATGACAGCTCACGAGATTGAATTATTAATGCCAAGACTTCAAGTGAACTGATAACAACTTTTATGAGAGTGGTTATTTTTATGCGTAAATACCATGGCGTTATACAAAATAGTAACATGAAATTAAAGTGGGTAAATGTTGTTTGAAAAATAAGTGATTTAGGGTACGTGCATTGTTATAGGCTACTCACAATGCACTAATGAAGTCAAGACCTAACTATTAGTTTTACTTTTTGCCCATTATATCACTTTAATCCCGTATTGTCTATAGTGGTCACCGTTAACAGTCGTTGTAGACATAAAATATTCTTTTAATTACAGTTATTTCTACACTTACTACTAATATGTCTTGATCATATGAATATCATTCGTTAATATAGACCATAGTACACCATTAGTTGTTTAAATTAATCGAATAGCCTTTATAGTTAATTCGGTTCACGATTTTGTCACAATTTAAAGTCGATTTTCTCTTTTCACATTAAAATAGTCCTTTTTTTAAATTGGTTCCAAATGGAATCATGCTCGCATTTCTGGTCTTCTGCATTAAATATATTTGCTTACACATAGGTTCGTTCGTTTTTTTATTTCTCAATATCATCAAAATACTAATGATATGCAAATGTTGACAATCGGCTATTTGTCCGTAAACATAAGTAAAATTTACCCACAATTTACTTCGCCTTTCGAGGATTTGTTTAATTACGGTTTAATAAATGTTAAAGAATTTGGTACATTCTTGTGCAATTGTATATCACTTGATTTCATTCTGTATCGATTGTTTGTCTTCACTACCATATTTCTCAGTATGTTTTTCATTTCGCTTATAAATATAGTAGAGTAGATCACTATTCTTGTCACTATTATCATTATTTGACATAAACAACGCACAGTTTCGTTAGTGCATAATATTTCTTACCAAATGATCTTTGCAACAGATCATATGACTACATTTTTTAAAGAAGATGAAATCAGCTTACATGTTCAATAGGCTAGTGAATATGTATGTGTTTTATGAAAAAGTTTGAATCAAATTTACCACATTTGTTTTCTTAACATCATAATATCTGAATACATGTGTTAGTGTTCACTTTTTTCACTGTAATATTTCTTGAATCCTTTATTTATATATATATATACATATACATAAATAGTCGAGCTGGCACTTTAGTTTCATCTGGTGATTGTCGAATGACACAGGACATACCTACGACTGGGGAATCTAATAGTCGTGGTCATTACCAAGCTGATTCAGAACCGGATGTAATTAAAAAACGTCTACCTATTGTTAGAAGACTTTCTATACCTCCGAAACCTAATATAAGTTTGAATTTATGGAGTATCATGAAAAATTGCATTGGAAAAGAGCTGACAAAAATCCCGATGCCTGTGAGTGTATATCTTTTTATCAGTTTACATTACTTTTTATGTTGTCCTGTGTTACTAACTTGCTATATGGCATAATTCATTTGATCACATGATTAGGATCTAACTGAATAATGAATTACATACTGTGTGAGCAACCTATGTTTATTTGACACGGATTGAATCGGACGGAAGGTTTTGCCATGTACAAGATTATGTACTTTTTTACATCTTATACTTACAAATATCAATCGAATAGTCTGTTCAAATCACTTGGATTGTGGTTAGCTGAGAAAATGATGTATCATCTTCCCAGCATATGCAAATGAACTAGATTCATGACACAGCATTGTACAAACTCATCTGTTTTTCTGGTAAAATTAATGATCGTTTATATATTTGTTTCCCTATCTTCTAGTCGAAATATTTTTTTTGTAAGATTTCATGTTGTGGTAATCAGATAACTTTTGAATTTGTGGATCTATCTGTAGTGTAGCATTCTGTAAATACCTTCTAAAATTTTACTAGGGTAGTAAAAGGACAGTCGGCAGTTACTTAGCATTAATAGGGACTTTTACACTAGGTATATCGAATACGCTCTACTGACTCCTCATTTCAACTCAGTCCTTGTTTGTGTATTCTGCTCTAACAACTATTGATAAATCAGTATTCGAATTGTTAGGGTCAATTAGTGTCCCTTTATGGGTCATTAATACTACATCTAATCTTTGTATTTATGAATTGTTTTTGTCTGAATTTATCAGTTTTTTTTACAAAAGACTGTATACTAAGTGTGGTTTGTGTTCGAGTTGTTATGTTTAATTTATTCCATTCGGTTGTTCGTTAGCCCCTGTTTACTCACCCTAATTACTGTGGGCACCTTCTGCTACTGAAAATTGCCTAATGAGAAGCTCTTTACTTGAACTGTCATTATACTAATCTGTTCTATTCCTGTCAAATCTTGGGGAATATAAGAGCACAAAGGATAGGAAACGGATGAATCGCTAACACATGGACGAAAATAACTGATAATACATACAAAGTGGATTAGAGATCGACCTTTGAAAGATATGTCATTTGGATAAACACTGATTTTTCAAATAACTATGTCATAAGTAGATTAAAAGTTACTTTTCATCTGAAATAAACTATCAGTGAAGTGGAGATAATTAAGAGAGGTCTGTGGTTTACAAGAACACTAAGAAAATTGGAAAAAGATAACAGTTCAAAATTTATAAACCATAGAGATAATTTTATATAGTATCGCCATCAAGTCTATATCCATTATATCACTTTTGCAATTGGCTTATAGTAAGTCTTAATTTGTTTACTTGACTTCTGGAACTTACTTCTTTGGAATTTATTTAATAGATGTCTTTGTCTTTCGAAATGTCAAGTAATAACTGCAGCTGTTATGGCTGCACCTTCTTTATTTAGTAGATTTCTTAATTGAACCTAGAAAGTGGCATTTAGGGTTTAATTATATTTTCGCAGGCTCTTTCGGAAATGGTGAATTCATCAGTCTAATGTCATTTATTCATTATTCTATTCCTATCTACTCTGTTATTTGACTGGAAATCAAACAGTTCAAATGCATTTTAAAAAGAGAAATGTCTTCACAGAATAGTCTTTATTTATCATCAAGTATATGTCTTAAGGTAGTGGCTTGCATGTTATTATCAGAGGATTCACAGAATGGTATAATCAATGAATGGATTTTGAGTCGAATACAGGTACTAATTGAAAACCAGATAAAAAATATTGTAAATTTCATTCGAATATTATTAAAGACACGATATTCTCAAATACAAATGTTGAAAAAAAAATCATTCTTCATTTTTCATGTCAGTTTAGGTGATTTTCACTCAGAAGTCAACTTTCAATTCATTTTAATTGTATTAAATTATTCTGAGTAAATTCTATTCATTGTCTTTCATTCTAATTTCAGTTGTTACTAGTTATTTGATTTTCAATGCATTTCCCCTTGTATTGATTATTTCATTGCGATCTTGCATTCATTGATAATTACTCAGTTGAGAATATGTTATAATTAACATGTAATTAAATTAATATGAGTATAAGTAAATTTATGTGATCTCGATCAAAAAGTTAGTGTTAATTTAGATTGAAATGGACAAAAGAATATTTAAAAAATGCAAATCAAAATTGTTGTCAAACTTAACATTGATTAATTTAATATTTAAGACATTTTCTCCTAACTTCATTAGTACTTGAAATTTTAGTTAATGTAAATTGTTACGTTTTTTAATGACTTTTTGGTTATGTACGTTATTTTAATGACATTTTGTTGTTCCAAGAATCTATGAACATTTTATTTCTGTCGGTTATGCAATTAGTGTGAAATGGTATGAATTATGAATAATATATTAGTTGCAGCACGTGTGTATACCAATGAGTTTTGTTCGTACGTACTCTCGTTAGTAGTTAAGTGATATAACTAATAACTGCAGCCTTTCAACGAATAGACAAGTTACCTGAACTCTATTACACTAATTTTGCTTTCATTATCTTACTATGTAGTCTTATTTATATAAATTAAAAAGTAGTAACATCTGGTTTCTTTTCTCATAAATATCTGGTGTTCATTGAGTGTAATTAACAATATTGTGAAATGAAAATCAACATCCAACAATACGTACGGTGGTTTAATCATAAACATGTAAAGCGGAACTCACTGTTTACTTGATCTCAAACCCTTTTTTGGGTGCATAGATGATGATCAAATAGTCTTCAGGCTTGTATGATTGCACCATTTTTTAAAATTTTGTCATAGACATTCTTTTAGAGATAACACCTTCATCGTCTTAATTTCACATAGTTGGTCTTCTATCAGAAGATTCAACAAATGATTTTGAATACACATCTGATATAGTTCTCTTTAGTGATGACTCTGATAAAGTACAATTTGCTAACTATCTTCAGTAACAATGCAATCATGTTTCTGATACAGCTTTCTCCCTCCAAACGCAAAATGTTGCTTCAGGATTGGCTTGTGTCAGCGCCAGAATCAATTATAGGAAGTGAAATGGTTGAACGTAATAACCACGTCATTTGTCTTGGAAGTCTCGTCAGTCCTGATAGTGTGATGTCTAACGAAATCTCGGCACGGATTCGGAAAGCTCGATTGGCTTTTCCCAACTTGTGCTCTTTGTGGCGTACACAAGATTTCCGTTTGCCAATCAAAGAACGAGTTTACTGCTCAATAGTTCGCTCGGTTCTAATTTATGGGTGTAAAACATGGCTACTTGTAGAAGAGTTACTAGTAATTGAACACAGATGTCTACGAAGCATTGATCGTGTGTTTCGGGATCACCCAGTAAGCAATACCTGAGTTAAGAATAGAGTCCTGGGCAAAGATGATAAATCGATAGATGGAGTAGTAGATCTCCATCAACTAAGGAAGTTAGGGTGTGTGTTACGTATATCCAGCCACTGCGTACTTAGACGGGCTATGTCGTCTGGAGTAGTAATAGTAGACTGAAAGAAGGCTAGGAACGACCAGACCAAAAAATCACATCTGTTTATGAAGTTACTGACAATTGGATCTAGTCATGTTAGTATGTATGGACTACTTGGTTGATGTTAGAGTGATTATCATAACCAATGGTTGGAGACTTTGAATGAAATGGCTCGTCTTTGTCTTCCCTCAGGTTCCAAGCCTTTAAGTTCCTCATGTTTGTTTTTGTTTTACTAACTTATATATTCTCGAACTGTATCTTCGATGCCTAATCTTCTCTAGTACAACTAATATTGTTCCTACCTCTGCTAATTTAGGATTTGGTCCAACAACTTTTTCTCCATGTTAATGGAGTATATCAACTTGAATCGAAGTTCATATGTACGTGGTTCTTCATTGCGTTTAACTGAGTGACTGGATGAGAAAATACGTATTCCATTTTGAGTTTATTCGGTCCTTAAATTTCATCCTAGAAATCCGAAAATGATCAGTTCATTTTTTCAAATACATTATGATCACATTATATTGTACAGTACGTAAAGAGAAACATTTATAAACATTATAACCGTCTTCTTAAAGAAACACCATAGAACAGTAAGGTGTTCACTCCCAAAGGCTTAATAAACAATCGATTTATCGTCAAATTTCACATATCCGTATCACAATTATAATATATCAAACTACTACCACTGACACTGTTTATGAAATTGTAGTAAATAATCTCTTTTGCAAATAGCATATGGATTAAATATTTCTGTATTTCTCGTGGAATTTAGTAAGCTAACCTTCAGGGTTCATGCAAGTAGCTGGTAGCTTCACAGTTTATCTTTTACAAAAAACGTCTTAAATCATTTCGTCGTTGTTAGAATGGGTGCCTATGATAGTGGGCATTTTAAGTCGTTTAGGACTCACTAAATACAGTAAAAAAATTATTGATCTAACTTTTTTGTGAAGAATGTATTAGTTGAACTTATTTCTTTTACGATATCAACTCCCTATTATCAGACCATACGAAGTGTTTGAATTGTCCTGATACTGTAATTTAAATGCTTCTTCATTTGTTAAAGCTGTTTTTTAGGTTGTTTACCTAGTACAACATCTTCGCTCTTTATCCTCCAGTATACAATAGTAGAAATAATTAGCTGACATAATAATAATCATGTTAACCATAGATAATATTGCGTTACTAAAGACTTGGTTATTCGGTGAATTCAAGTTTCAGGAGTCATTTACTTGACACAAAATGTATTAAATTTTGGTATCTTTAACTTTTAAAATACCTTCTATAAACTATTAAATAAAGTGATATGTCGTAATGATTATTTCAAAATATGATTTTAGCAAAATATTCATAATAGATGTTTGTATTTAACAACATAATGTTTTGCATATTTCTCAGGTCAATTTCAGTGAACCTTTATCAATGCTTCAACGTCTAACAGAAGATTTCGAGTATTCCTCATGCTTAGATCATGCAGCTGCTTGTCAAGACTCATTGGAACAAATGGCATATGTGGCTGCTTTTACTGTATCCGCTTACGCTACAACTGCAGTGCGTACGAACAAACCATTTAATCCTTTATTGGGTGAAACATATGAGTGTGACAGAACTGATGATTTCGGCTGGAGATCGTTTGCTGAGCAGGTACATTTTCCCTTCATAAATTGTGTAACGTAAAAATAGTAAATTGTATTTGTATAAGCTATTTCAGTGCTTTGACATTATTTATGAATCTTTCAGTTTTATTTCCATTTCAACTTATTTAGTAAAAACCAACTTTACTTTGGAACACTGTAGCATGGAAATAATTTATTTAGAATGATTGATGCGAAAATTGCTCCTATAAAAAAATTAGATCACATGATATTGTAAGGGTAGATTAATATTTTTTTGTTCTTTGAGGGTTCTTCACTTTAGAATCACTGTCAATTGAGTCAGGGCATTTGGCATACTGTTATCCGATTTTACAAACTTAAGTGATGTTCTTACGGGTTGTTTAGTTTCCCCATCTTTATTACGATATAGTCGTAGTTGTCGAAGATGCCAACAAAAGACAGTTCCATTAATGGATTGAGTAACAATCAATGTTAAGGATTCGTTTTTCTCCTTCTAAATGCAAAATATTGCTTCATGACTGGTGAAGAGTGGGTTGTAAGAATACTCAGTCCATTAAGTCATTACCTGTCAGTGTGAAGCGTCGCATAGGTGGTTTAGTGGTTGTGACACCTAGCCTTTAACCATTTAGTCACAGGTACATACTCTGATCCATCTATCTTGTTTTGAGCAACCGATTATTATCACTAACCCTCACGATTCAGTGATCTCTGATATGGTGAAATATAAGGAAACAAATGAACACTAAAATAATTCATTTAACAAATGCAGCTGAAGCAATAAATGCAGGTAATTCTCATATAAGCTACATTTCTTAACATGTTTTATACGAGCGAGAATCAAATGTAGTTAGAAAATCAGATACTTTCGTTTTTTTCTTGGTTTCCTGAAATTTATGTAAAAAATCATCTGTAATCTTTCTAATCTTCTTGCGTTTGTTCACGTTTCTGCAACCATTTATCAAATTATGTACACAGTATGCCTGATCAGCTTATAGAAATGTAAAGTAGAAATTCTTAGTAATGAAGAAGTATTCTATTTCATATATTAGAATATGTATACAAAATATCCATTATCGACTTTAATTTATTAAAAATTCCTATTAAATTAATCAAAAATACAAGTTATGTTGAGCATAAAATCAGGAAAATACATCATTGAAATTCTGAACATCACCTTTCATGATTAACCAAAGGATAAGATAAAACAATAAGAAGCTCTATTGTGGCACATCTAATTGTTACTTGTCACTGCATCTACACAAATTTAGCTTTAGAAGTTATCTATAGAATCCTTTTTTACTTAACCTATGCCTCTGGAATTTGTCTCTAACACGCAACAAAAGCCGCAAGAGAATACACATGATTACTTTCACAAAAGATTACTAAACATTTATATTCCTTTGCTTAATTTCAATCTTACTAAATTCCTATTCCTATTCTTAAGTAACTAATAATAATCGACCGATTTTGTAAACTGTTTGGATTTAAATTTCGTTTCTCCCTACATATTGATTAATATCTTGAGACAGGCATTGTTGAATCGATGCACCGCCATCCATTTTGTGTCGATTTTATACTATGTTGTCGAGACATTTATATGTTAGTGTAGAAGCATGTCAAGGCAACAACTTATAAGAAATATTTCTTCTTTCAAATTGCATCATTAATTTGTATACTGTAGTATAAAAGTTTATGTAATACTCTTATGAATTACGATGTGTTATCAATTCCTATTATTGTTAATACAATTCAGTGGCTAAATATACATTTTTGTGTTTCCTAAAAAGAGTAAACGCCAACATCTGATAGTATAAATTGTTCGAATACGCTAGAATCATCATCATTCATGGATTAAGTTATTTCACGTCACACTATTATGTATCCTTATTGTTGGGGTGATCCAGAAAATTGCTTGCAATAGACAAGCAAGCATGAGGAAACACTAAGAAGCGTTTCGTCCAATCAGCGTTCACTTGGAGTCATGGCCAGAAATATCAAGGTAGCGAAACATCACATGCCGAGGCGCTGATTGGTTGGCTACTACACTGCTACTATGTTTAGTAGCATTCCAGAATATTCCAGCGACCCAAGGACATTTAAAATATTATAAACACCCTATATTTTCTGTAATAAAATAAACCTTGGAGTGAACTACTTCTCGCATTCTTTGAGTCTGCTGTCTCGTGTTCAGGTCGCTGTATAGTTCTGGCTTGGGGGTTACAGAATAGCTTAGCAGACGAATATAGCGTTCAAATCCACAAGACTTATCACTTATATGTGCTACCAAAAAGCTTTTTAGTAATCATACTTATCGTTGTTATGTTTCTCTATCTTGTGCTCATTCGTTCCATTTAACCTATTCACTTCTTGACAATACAATTTTGCAATATGATTCATGCACCTATAACGAATTGAACTTTATCATTAAAAACCTGTTCATTCTTGTAATCTGTTTATAACTAGTTGAGTAGCGTAAAATGTAATGCCAATTATTTGGTTAGTTTGAAGAATCCCGATTCCATGTGATTGAAATGGGACTGTTTCAAAAAGCCTTTCATAAGCATAGATAACCTGAGTCTGTGGAATTATTTTCTGATTGTGATTGCCGTCATTTCGACGAAATAGAAATTTCGATAGAACAATGAGAAGACGGATTTGATCTGAAAAATGTGATGTATTTGCGCTATACATTTCGAACAATCTGGTCACACATATACTTGTCAAGGCATTTTTATATGAAAATTAATAAAGGTCAATAAAGGTCAAACAAACAAATAAAAGTACAATTAAAATAACTAAGGGGGGGAGAAAGAATAAGAAATTGTCGCGTTATCCTAGGCCATAGAATGACTTAAGGATTACCAAGGTAAATTCAAGGTTACGACAAATTGTTTTTGTACACATAAGGGGGGTCTAAATTTACGAATAGCTAAGGCTTCAATAAACTTAAGAATTCGACCTTGACAATTTCTATACAACATTCTAAATGCTGTATTAATGTTAATTTTGTGCCCCGTCTCAATTATGTGTTTTGCTATTGATGAACTTGGTTTTCTACCTCCTACATTGATCGGATCATTTGACACACACTGATTTTGAAGCCATCTGGGTACATGTTCATTGACCCTTGATTGCATTGTTCGATTACTCCTCCCTATGTATGTGTGTCCACACAAACATGTAAATTGGTAAATACAATGGGATGTGACGTAATCATTAGTGCATTGTTTGGGTCTATTATGAATCATGGCCTTAGACTTTTCAATCACTACCAACTGAGCAGCATAATACGTATTCTCAATGGCTGCTTTCAATCTGTGCCTTAAAACTATACTGTTTGATTCGCCTCTATATGGTAGATTGATGTAAACCTTTTTCTTTGGCACTGAATAAATTAGAGGTCTTGGCATTAACTGACTTTTGCACCTATTAATAAACTTGAGTGGATAACCATTTGCTATTAAAGTGTCAGTCAGTAACTTTTCGTCTTTTTCCACCATATCAGAGGTACATATTCTTCGAGTCCTCTTAAAGAGGCACTTAACTAGACCTCTCTTGTATTGCAATGGACAGAAACTATGGAAATTTAGGTATTGTCCCGTCCAAGTTGGTTTCCTATACACGGACCGTCTAATAGTGCCATCATCCCTTCGACTTAAAAGTATGTCTAGAAAGGCTAATTGGCCATTACTTTCTGGTTCATGTGTCATCACAATATCATTTTGAACACCATTGAGTTTATCCAGTAATCGGTAAACATCAAAATCCTTATCACATATAATTAGAATATCGTCCATATATCTTCTATATAGAGTTGTCTCACTAATGAGGTCGCTCGTCATATTAGTTATCAAGATATTAAAACTGAAAATTTGCCCTGGAACCATGTCTTCATCATCAGCTGTATATATAAGATATGACAGTTAGTTGTATTTAGGCTTTAGTCTTTCATTCTTTTTCAAACTAGAAATAATTTTCGCTTAGTTTAATAATCTCATTTTTTTCTAATTCTGTATTTATGTGCTTACTAAATATTTTTCTAAAAATCTTAACATACTGTAAACTGTGAAGATCGTAGGTATTCTTCAAATTTTCATACATTTCTGTTTTCCAGTACCGAATCCATGACTAATTGCTATATTATATTCCAGTGGTTTAATTAGCAGTTAGTATGTCTTTCACAATAGATGTCGTATGCGCTTACTAATTATAACAGATTCTTGTATTCTTTTGAAATCAATGCCATGACTACATATTTAAATTCCTTTATTTTATTCAATAATGTATTTGAATATTAATTAAGTTATTCGCCCCATCGTCTAATTACTTCGTAATTGTCATTATCATTGTTAACTCTGTTGGAATGTGCGATGTTGTTATTTATACACATCACCGCTTGATTGGTATCGATTTTATTGATAATAATGTCATTAAATATATTTATTGGTATGTTGCCGTAATAAAAAACTAAGTGAAAAGAAATTTTTCTTCTCTGATTGTTTTCTAAATATATAAGTAGGGACTTTTGTTCCACTTAAATTCAACTAAGTTTTTCGCGCTACTGTTTATACCTACTTGTGGAATGATTTATCTCATTCAACAATACTGGATTATTGCTCCTTTAGTATTCTTTTTATGTGCCACATAGTTTAGTCGTTTCTTATATTATATGAACATGTGATAAATAAAGTTTTTGACTTCAGCGTTCTTCATCAAAACGAATCTCTGTTGATTCACTTTAGTCAAGAAAGGAACGATATGATGTTCAAGTCACAAGTTGTGTTATTTCTTAAAAAATTTAAGAAATATGAACCTCAAGTAATATATCTTGATTGTTCTTGTGTTGTTTGTGAAACTTGCCTATCCTTGGTTTTAAAGAGTATTTCATAAGACGTATCTTTTTTATAAATTTGTGTGCTCCAGTTAGTATTTTCTGTGATAGCTTCGGTTTTAAAATTTCTACACTCACAAAATCCAAACATGTTTTAGGTCAGTGCTTTTAACGATACATTCAGACAAACATATAATTGACTAGTAATTTGAACCGTTGTTTGTTATTAGCGTACATAATTTATGACTTTGTATGTTTCCATAATCTATGTTTAGCAGTATAGCATTAGTCATGTTGTGATAACCACCTATTCTGTACACTTCTTTTTTAAAAAGCAATGTAAGCTTTCCGCAATTATAAAAGACAAACATTCATGATACATAAAATCTTTTGTAACGAGCTACAAATCTTATATTATCTTGTCAGTCAGTCAGTCAGTAACAACGTAGAACTTCGTACTCACGTACATCAGTTCGAGTTGCCATACCACATTAGAACAGCGATGCAGTTGTCTAAGTCAACAAGTGGATCTCCCGGTAGAAGTTCAACCCCTGGAAATTGAGACGAGGAAAGTGTTATCTCTAAAAGTACCTCGACGACAAAGTTGAACAAGAATGGAGAGAGTGGGCAGCCCTGACGAACACCACTTGAGGTAATCAATTCTGATGACAGTTCGCCATAAGCTCTCACTCTACCAGTTGTGTTCGAGTAGAGAGCCTTTATAAGGTTAATGTACTTCTTTGGTACTCCTTGTCTAATATGCGGAAGCGATAACGATATCACTGTTAGGATTCGGTTTCTCTTCGTGTGGTCTGTGCTTTCTTGTTTATCAGTTGAATACTGTAGACCATTGATAATCTGAACTTCATTGATACTGATAGGGAAAATCGCTCATTAAAAAAAAAAAACTATTTAGGACACTTTAATATACGTCTGTGTTTACTCATTAGTCTCTCAAAGTTTAAGACTACATTTAGATGAAAATAAAATTTCATCTTTCTAGCTAAGCGATAACTAATTCAATTTTGGATTTATTCATCTTTGTTGGTTATATCCTGTTATGTCATTTAGAATACAAACTAGTTTAGGGAGTCTAATTAAGAGCCTTCAACTGCTATTAAAGACAGTAACTCAAGAAGAAATGTTCTTTCACTATGTGGGCAGTCGTAAAGTGACAACCGCTTTCATACCTCTAACAACCGAGATCACCTTGTGACAGCTCCAGAAAAAATAGACCTATTCATCTGGTTGATTAATTTATTATTACTTTATATTATCAGTTTATTAAAGTTAAATGAAATTTTTTTGTCAAACAATATAACCAATTTTACTTGATAATAGAAATAATGGTTACCATTTTGATAATATATATTCCTTCATCTATTTACTTGTTTCATAAGATATTGTAACTTATTTATTCTGCCTCCCTTATATATTGTATACAGGTCAGTCATCATCCACCAGCATGTGCTTTACATTGTGAAAGCAATGCTTGGTATTGTTGGTTTGATTTTTCTATGACAACTAAATTCCGTGGCAAATACTTACAGATTAATCCAGTTGGTACATGCCATTTAGTATTTCGTCGAACAGGTCATCATTATACATGGCATAAAATTCCACTAACTGTTCATAATATCATTGTTGGACGTTTATGGATTGATAATAGTGGTGAAATGGATATTATAAATCATAATACAGGTGAAAAGTGTCATCTCTCTTACAAACCTTATTCATATTTTTCTAATGAGAAACCACGTCGGGTGAGTTGTTTTCCAATTGTCTTTTTTATTCTGAGTAGATCAATAGTTATAACTGGGTTCCAATCTAGAAATTATTTTAATATCTGATATTCAAATGAATTTCATAAAATAGGATAATACTAAGATATTTGAGAAATAGTTATAGGCATTTTAAATAATATCAAGTCAAAATCTGATGTTCATTCGCTACTAAATTTTGGATGAAGGATAATTCTTGAACTTTTGTTAGATAATTGTGACAAATGACATTCCAGATTGTATCATATCACACATTGATTGTTGCACATAAACATCATCATTTGGTTCGTATGAAGGCTGTGATATTGCGCGGGTGCCTAGACCGAAGCAGATGGTTTTCTTAAAGGGCCATACCCGGAGCCTTTGACCTAAAAGTCTAATCCACAAGGCAGTGGAGCAACGTCAAGAAACGCAGTCCCATAGTAGCCGGTGACCAACTGTTTGTTCATACGCCATTTGTTCCCTCAGGATCCTGTAGCCCATGTGCACCATTGGTTTGGAATCAGGGTTTTCCAACTCTCTTAAGTGGACCCTCCGTGCTCACCAACCCCATTAAAGCGACGAACATTCAGTTTTCGTCCTCTCAATTTAGTCAACAAGACCCCCGCCACGAGAAGGTAGTGGGTAGGACTTCACTGGCAGTGGTTGTATGCACGTGGCCATGTGAAAGCTACCTGTCCTCACCCTCGTCCGTACTAGGGCTACTACTGGAAAAATTATTCTCGCTTCAATTCGCATTCAGACAGATCCCATTCACAATCATTTGATAACATTCGTTTTTATTTCTTTTATACTACGTCACGTATGTACTTCCCTTTATTCTCATTTTGCGTATTTTATTTTTCAACTTATACAAAAGGCCGCCTATGGTAGAAACCCTGTTCTATCTAAACGAATTCAAGTCACTAACTGGTTGGAAGTTTAATGCTACCACCGACTACGAATATTGAAGCAGTCTTTCTGAAACCACGTATACCATACAAACTGGCGTCCTTCAATGTTCGCACACTAACTCAGATCAAACAACAAATAGGGTTGGCCATGTCTTTAAAAAGTCTTAATATCGACGTCTGTTGTTTATCCGAGACCCGTATTCAAGACTCTAGTGAAATACTACAAATTCGCTCTTCATCTGTCGCTTCGAAAAACGTGCGTTTATCTGGGGACCCTGTGGCATCTTCGTCCGGTTTTGCTGGCGTTGACGTCGCACTCGAGCTGAGACAGCATTAATTGATTAAATCCCCATAAACAGTCGTTTATGTGCTGTTAGGTTAGAAAATTAGAAATCGGTGTAAGAAACAATGTCTTTTCGTCATCATCGCCCTGATGCGAACAAGAATGAGTTTTACTACCAGCCAACAGTTCTCCAGACAGTGCGTTCGACAGATATTGTAGTACTAGCCGGAGACTTGAATGCTCAGGTCAGGCGTCTATGCACAAGAGAGACTGGCAGGACCGTGATCCTGCACTCACCCTGGACAGTGAGCGGGTAGAAGCAGTTAAGAAGTTCGTGCATCTAGGTAGCTGCATAAGTGCTGATGGTGGCGTGAGTGATGAGACCAGTGCGCGTATAGTGAAAGGCAGAGCGGTTTATGCTAATCTGGGCCATCTTTGGAGCCTTCGTGATGTCAGTCTGGCTGTAAAAGGTCGGATCTACAACGCGTCGGTGAGAGCAGTTCTGCTCTATGTTTGTGAACCTTGACCTCTCCGAGTTGGGGATGTTAGACGACTCTGTGTTTGGTCATCGTTGTCTCCGAAGGATTGCTGACATCCAGTGGGAACACCATATTAGTAATGCAGAGGTATGGCATCGTGTGTTCGGGCGCAGAGACGATAATCCAATTGGTGTCACCATCTTGAAACATCGACTTCGGTGGCCTGGACATGTTCTACGAATGTCGTCCCAGAGAATTCCGCGTTGTGCACTATTTGCCGACGCTGGGACTGGTTGGAAAAAGCGGAGAGGTGTTCAGTGCATGACATTGTGTCGTGGTATAAAAGAAAGGTATATATGACTGGCTTCTATTTGTCCTTCACCACACCGTGGTTGGAGTCCTAAAGATATTGCAATACTGGCTGGGAATGTTATCAGACATAACTGAGAATAGAGGCCAGTGGCGATCCTGCTGTAACTTTCTTTTACTTCATAAAAATGAACGTAAATTTTTTAATTGAAGGAATTCTTTCTGGTTATGTTTCTACTAACTAAACTGTTTCTACCATTATTGTTATTTCACTGTCATACGCTAATTTCTGTTCATTATTGTACTTCTTTTATCTTATACGCAACTTTCATTCTCTATATCTTCACATTCTCATTATTATTGTGTGGCGCATGTATATCTGGTGCCCCTTTGTACCAATATTTATGTGTTCAAATAAATAAATAAAGCACATAAATATCAGCTGCTGTATTTTGACCTAAAAGTTCAGTGTTTAACAACGTGTGCTTACTGTTTAGTTGTTTCGTCCACCAGTTTTCAAAGCGATCTAAATAAGTCATTGTGATTAAGTACTTTACTTATATCCTGTAAATCACCTCGTTATCTCCTGAAAAGTCTTCTAGTTTTATAGTTTGTGCTTCCATTTAAGGACATCCATTCTCGAAAATGTACCAATGATTCCTCAACAGTGGCTAACGACAGAATTTTCGTACTGTCATATTTTATATCAGCAACGCTTATGGCATATTTATACCAGAGAAAATTTGATAAAAATTAGTCATTATCAGTCTACTTAAAATTTCGAAGCTTAGGTGTTTGATGTCTAATATCTTTTTTTAAATGGTTTTCGCTTCGTTCTAGGTTACAGGTGCTGTACTTGACAAGTCTGGTGATGTACGGTATGTTTTAAATGGTACATGGGATGATTCACTCGAGTATGCACCTGTAGTGAGCACTAGACATTCACGTAATGGGAAACCAGTATTGGAAACTGGGCCTGCACGTGTTCTGTGGCAGAGTAATCCTTTACCACCTGATGCAGAACGAATGTATTGTTTCACGCGTTTAGCATTGCAGCTGAACGAACCTGATGAGGATGTATGCCCTACTGACTCTCGTCTGCGTCCTGACCAACGTCTTATGGAAGACGGTCGTTGGGATGAAGCTAACAGGGCGAAAGTAGAACTTGAAGAACTACAGCGCCAACGGAGACGCCAAATGGCTGCCGAATTAGCCGCCCAGTCACTTGCTTCTAGCAAACAGGACGAAACGAGCGACACACACAGTAAATCTGAAAGCTCCGTTTCTGAACAATATAACAGTCAATCAAGTCCGTCTGCTAGTAACTTGCGTAAGTTCTCAAGAGTTAGTGGGTTTCTTGTTGCTCTTTCATATATCTAATATTATTGTTGTTTTTTTATTTAGAGTCTAGGCATGTGAATACCATTTATGTTTTTTGTATAAATTCCATTATCATTATCACCGCTTGATTACTCGTCATTTCTGCATATATGCACTGAAGAATAGTTTCGTTTTTGACTACACTTTGGAACACAAAACAAGGGGAAAATAGGACTTTTAGAAGTATTCAGAATATTCAAAATAACTTGCTTAGTTACTTAACAGTTTGTAACGTCAAATATACAAGTAGTGTGATATGGTGAATTTTAAGTTACACATTCTTTGTTGAATAAGCACTCACTTATAAAGCGTCTTCACTACACATTTGCAAGTTTAGACAAGGGATGTTTTCCTTACTCTGTAAAGAACAATGATATTTCGTTAAATACATATAATGCCTTGATCATGTATGTATCCTATCAGTTAGTGGTGTTCAAACTGAGAATTATCTCCTGTAATATATTCTTTTTTTGGGTTGCAGGTCCGAATACACACACAGTTGTGACTTAAGGCCAAGTAAACAAATTTGTACTTGTCTATTGAGTTCTATTACTAAATTAACATATCCTGCTTCGTGTAATGTCATGTTTCTAATGGTTATTCATTAATTTCATTTTTCCAGTCGATATCGTTGATAGCCAGCATAAACCATTGTGGTTTACAAAAGAATTCGATCAATTTACAAACAAAGAAACGTATATATTTACTGGGAAATACTGGGAGCACAAATTAATTCATGATTGGTCAATGTGCCCGAAGATCTACTAATCTTCATAAGTGCAGAAAAAGGGGATATACATATTCGCCGTACTATTATTTTTAATTCTTTTTTTCTTGCCAGTGAATAACTAAACTAATCGTGATAGATATTATTTGTTTCCGTGTTACAGACATGGAATTATTCTTATACTCTTACAACAGTTATAATATATTGAGTATTATCAATATTCAAGATTGGTATGCACACACTTAGATTTGTAATCGTATTCGAATAATTCAAGGTCATTCTCATCAGTGTCAGTAATTTTTCAAGAAGTTACCCTTTCTCAGAAATACACATTTTTTCTTGCGTTCTCTGATTTCTGTGAATGATCATGAAAAGAAGTCATAAAGTTTAGTCTGATGCTTATCAGTACTAACACTCCCATATGCGTATACTGCATTAGTAACTATTTAGTGTGACTGTAGTTCACTTTTCTCACTTGACTCCGTCCAGTTGCATCTGATAGCTATTTACTTCTACTTATTAGCAAACAAAAATTTTCAGTCAAATCCAAACGTTACTCTGATTTCTTACATCAGGTATACAAACTAAATCCTGCTATTTGATTCATGGTTGTTTCTTTCTCCATACATGTTCTTGATCAGTTATTTACTTTTGTGAAGAAAAAGCATCATATCTGTCTATATTTAATCGACATGTTCATTTCTATTTTTCCACCTGTTCCTTATTTGTGTAGCAGAAATTTCTCCTAGTGTTTACAAAAGACACTCATTTTGTGATTAAAAGCTCTCACTCGGTTTGATCTTCCCTATGTTGAATATTATGTTCTACTCGTTTCTCTGTATGATTCGATTTAACTAGAGCTAGTGAACTTTGTGCACTGACGTGATCTTTTTCGCTCTATTTCTGTTACTTGTATAATTTTTCAATGAAGCAAAAAACTTTATTCAGCATTCAAATTAAGATATATGATAAATAATGCTCAACTTTCTGTGAAATTTCGTATTTTAACGTTCCATACTAATTGAGAGTTAATATCTAATACTGGATTTACCTTGGAACTGCAAACCATGAGTTTTGAAAATATATATGTTATAACCCCACACTAATCGGTGTTGTGCAATGCCAAATTAATCGGTAATTAGTTACTAGCTGATTAAAGGATACCATGCATTTTAATAAAAGGACATTGGCCACCACTTGAGATAACTTGAAAGTGATAAAAATATGTTAAGACTCGTATTTCAACATCATTTACGTTTTAATTCTTCGCTTTAATTTCAGTAAATACCCCATCATTTTTTATTTAGATAGACGGATGTAAAAATGTTAATCGTTTGCATTGTTTCTCAATCTGACCTTAATCATATCAGTTACTTGTGTGAATACAATTGCTCTGTCGCATAAATCGTTAGACGAAAATTGGTCCGTCTCATGCAATTGCACCGGGAAGTTAATTTAGATACACAAAGTAAAATAAGGAATATTTTCTAGGCGCAACTGTTTTTGTTCTCTTACTAATACGTAACTGAATCATCAGACCACAAAAGGGCTTGTTCGTTTTTACCCGGTTTTACCCCAGGATTTGGCTAGAACTATTCCTTATGAAATTTTGTAAGTAAAATTCAAGGAGTCTAAATGTCTGCGTTATTTTATTTTTCGGAATTAATGTGTGGAATTCGAGGTGCAGCACGGCTGTCTCTCCTGCTTTCCAGGATATTATTGCTTGTATTCCTGGAAGTGTTGTTACCAACCGAGATAGCCACAAACGTGAACTGTCAGCGTAATCCCAATGATCTCTATCTACAGTACTAATCTAACTCAGCGCGCATCCTTTATGTTTTACAAGGGAAGTAGACCATACGAACAGTTAAACAGCTGGTGCGATTTATTTGCAAATAAAGCTGTCGGAAATTAAGTTTTTGTGGACTTTTGGGAAGACATGCTGAAGGTCAGTTTAACCGCGTCAGACACTGCGGATGTTTCTAACCTGTTCTTTATTCTGTTTGGTCCTCACAACATAGCTTAAAGTATAAGCTTTCTCCATTTGTGTGCGTTCTGGACAGTTTATTTAAGATATAAAGGTTCACATGATACCACTCCACTCATGTATTCAGGATATCCACTTACCCCGTGTATTTTATATGGATTTACCGAGGAAGCTTGTACAGCAGGGTTTTTAATGTAACAACTTCAATAGTTTGACCTATTCCAACACGCTAACGATACTTACCAAAATTTTGAATGGTTTGAGTGCAGTGGTACAGGTTGTCGAGAAACAAAAACATTATGGCTCAGTAACGGATTAGTTACAGCTGATAATTGGACTGCTTTTGCTTCAGGACTGACCTGCGTCATCACCTGAACTAAGGATAGAGAGTGAAGTAGTCCAACGCGTTGACACTTTCACTTATTATGGGAGTCTGATCAGCCCCAATGGGTTGATGTCTGACGAAACTTCAGCACGGATTCGAAAAGCACGTTTGGCATTTGTCAACTTACGTCACCCATAGCGAAGGCGAAATGTCCGTCTATCAATAAAAGGACGAGTATATTGCGCGGCTGTTCGTTCTGTTTTAATTTACGGCAGCGATACATGTCCATTAAGAGTTGAAGATACCCATAAGCTACTAGTATTTGACCACAGATGCCTTAGAAATATTGCTGGGATCACCACGTAAGTAATAGTGAGGTTAGACGCAGGATATTAGGAAATGATGGTAAATCAGTTGATGAGGTTGTTAATCTTCATCGACTGAGATGATTGGGCCACGTGTTACGTATGCCTGAACACCGATTACCACGACGTGCAATGTCCTATGTTGTAGCTGATTGAGCTAATGTCCGACAATCGAGGCCCTTAGCAATCAGTTTGGATGCTCACAGCAGGTTATAGAGAGCACTCCAGTACTCATTGTTAAAAATATCAATTTATACAATCCCTATCAGTCTTTGTAATTTCTTAGGTGGATGCACTTTTAACATTTGGTTTCGACATTCATTGTAGCTGGGAACATGAAACTCCAAGGATAAAATACAGTTTACAGCTTCCTATCGGGCAAAATAATAATTATTATTTGATTAATTTAATCCCGTCATTATTAAATAAAAGAATGTCTATTGTTAAGGAAATCTATAATATACATGGAACACTCAAGAGATATAGTCAAAATTTTCAGGTATTTCAAACTGGCGACAAAATGTAGCTTCATCAAGAGAAAATTTGTTATTTAACCATGACTTGATGATAAATATATTATCTGCAGATAAAATGGTAAATAAATAACGCTAATTTAGGTTAAAATTCCATGCTTGATCAGTAACAAGCAACACAGTAAAGTAAGTTTCGTTGTTTGCTGCCTTTTTTCTACAAACATAACTTTTACACAACTATTGTTAAAGCGAACCCAGTGGATGTGGAGAAAATAAGTATATAGGTGTAACGTACTCTAAACTCCATTCAGTCACAACATTAACAAGGACGAACAATGTTATTCCTAACCCCTATGAAAGTGTTAGGATATTCGGAAAAATATACCAATAATTATCATGTTAAGTCTAATGGTGTCCTTGGACTTTAAATGGACATTCCCTATTGGTCAATATTTATTCCACTTGTTAAATATTGTAAAGGTGTTGTTTTCTATTTTGTGGTATGGTTGATTGGTATATAAACAAAGTATGTTTGAAATATAACGATTCATAACTCAGAGGCTGAGACTTATGTTCTGGACTCAACTGGCTGGGCTAGACAGCGAAGCAGGGCCAATCGGGACTCTAGGTCGTCCGTACGTGTTTTACGTGTCATTTATCTGATCAATAATTCGCTGCGCATCTGATCTGCAGTCACACGTTACAACAGAAAGCTATTTAAGACGCTTTGTGAAGAAAATCCAAGACCATTGGCTTATGATTTAGACACCCGAATATCAAATTTTGGGAACAATTACAAGCTATTCTCTGAAAGATAGTGATTTTAACTCTATTAGCAAAAACTGATGGTTTGGGTTCTGTTGTCAGGTGGTTGACATCCACACGATAACAGTGGTAAGTAGGTAGAAACGCAGGGATCATTCACAGTGGCTTATATGGATTTTCCGTTCATCTTCCATTAACTCTTGAGATTCAAAGCTAATTCATACTTGTAACTCCTTAGATTCCTCTCTTCTATTCGACATAGATTTTTAAATTTTTAATTTTACAAATTAATATTGATACTATTCATGTTAATTTTACTTTGTAAAGTTAACATGGCTTAACGCGGGATTGTCCCCGACTATGCTAATCACAACTGACTAGCAGCTAAGGTGAAATTCACACGAATACATTAATGTCTGGAGTGGCGTACCTATTTATTTTTCGTTTCCGCTATGAGATCACTTTAATTAAAGTAAAAGAATATATATATAACTTACCCGTCCAACGATTAACAGAGTCAATAGCCACCAATTCTTGTTGTTTTAGCTCTAACAGGCGGTCAGGATCGTATTTTTTTAAATTCTGAAGCGCTGCACTAAGAGATTCAAGCAACAACTTTTGTTCAGTTAGCTTGTTTATAACTCTGTTTCGCTCTTCCTATATTGTGTTCAAACATTCATCAATATGCATATTTACTGTATCTTTCCTTTTCATCAAAGCTTCGTCCAAAGCTTTAGTTGTCTTAGAAATCTGGTTGCGTGTATTTTGAATATCTTCCATTACTTTTTCTATGTTGTTTCTAAGCTAAATTTAAACATGTTTGCTACTTATATGTGACTTGCTTTTTGTGCAGCTTTACTGGGAAAAGCCCAAAAATAAACACTGGTCCCTATTTTGTCAGTATCGACCAAACCGTCATGAACAAGGCTCATCAACACATCCTTTACAGACATAGAGTTGATACCCTTTTCTTTCTGGCATAACCTCTCCAATTCCTTAAGTTGAAAAAAGTCCTTCTAAATCAAATAGTATGTCAAAACGAAAAGTCATTTACTTTCTCGTAGAAAAAATCCAACATTCTTTGCCGCTTTTCATCGAGACTCAGACCTTTTTTCTTTGACTATATTTAATTTTGACACCAGAAAGACATTAAAAATGTGCGAAAATGTGAGTTCATTCGCATACTAAAGATCAATCAGACTATTTAAAAACCAAAAACTCCATTATGTTTATTGCAAGATTGCTAATCTTTAATCCACTTCACCGGAAGCGTTCATAGTTGTTGAGGTTATCGCTCTCCGCCAGGAAATAAAAGTGTGAACTGTAAATTTAGCTAGTCAAGCGCAGTGTGAAGCTCGATTCAAGCTGTCACTTCATATTATCCAAGAGACATGACATTGTCAGAACTAATCCCAAATAAGTAAGCATATAACAGGATAATTGGTATCATGGAAGTTTAAACATAGAATATATTATCAGAAGGAATAGGAATTCGTCCAATCGTAAAAAGATTTTAAATTTAGTGACTTAGGATCTAAGGGAAGGAAAAAAGTAAATACACATGTGCCACTGGAAACCGTTTTCAGCCATATTACGTGAAGCCTCTGACTACTACTTACAATGATTGCGCGAGCCCCAACCAGGCAATCTATGTCTGACTAAATGACTACGTCCAACAGTCAGACGGATGAGTTATAGAAAACCCATTACGTTGAAGACATCAGAGTATTTTTCAGTTGCGCCAATGAGAAACCCTACTCTGGATTTAGCCCAATCAGAAATCTAGGTGTGTCTTTTGACCCATGTGAAACGTAAATTAACAATCTTATGTATCTAAGAAACAAACTGAAAATGTAGAACAGTGAAATTATATGTCCATGTC